GGGGGGGTTTTTTTCTTTATGCTCTTGTTGTACTAACTACTGCCTGTGACTGCCTGAATTCTGATTATAAACCATTTCCGGTCTAACAGTTTAGCTAACAGGGTTAACTGTTTTATATCTAGAATTTATTTAATTAAACCTGTTTTCTACAGAATAGTAAACTTCTTTGTTGTAAGTTTAACGTGGTAAAGGCTGTGGTGTCGCTTTTAAACATCTAATTTGATAAATGTTTAATGCCATCATCGCAATTGACAGTATTCTTTTTTTCATTTGTGGATTTTCAAAGAAATTGTTTTAATCGAAACAAGCATTTTTATTTTTAATGTTTCTTCACAGTTGTCTATACAATATTATAATTCTTAATAACCCTCAAAATAAATAAAATTTAGAGAAAATTTTTAGTGACACTGAAAGTTTTATCGTCACAACACGTCAAAATAAAGTAAATAGGATTGATATATATAATATCAAGGATTTAATGCAAGGAAAGTGATTTCAGAGGTGTGCCCATTTTTTTTACTGCAGTGTACTGTCTTTAGGCGGAAGATTAAACACAAGACGGATATCACATGCCTGACATGGAATCCATTTTCACAAAAAAATCTATGAAATATTCTGTTCATAGGTAACTATTATGTGAATTTTCAAAATTATCAAATTAAATGCTTTTAAACTCCTCGGATACTAAACGAACACTGATGCAACTATTCTTGTTTACAAAGTACGCCCTGAGAGTACTGGTTTCAATATGTACGCAGAGAATTCGCGACCGCAATTAACTTTCCTTGCATTAGTACCTTGTATAATATCATATTCTTAAAATCATATTAAAAGCAATAGAACAGCGTTGTTTTGAATTTCTAATATATAAACTGATGAACTTCCTATAGCTCCTCATACTTGTACATATAATCAAATCTAGAGAACCTACAACGTCAACAAGGCGTACCAGTCATATTATATATAAATTTGGCTTGTCTGTTTGTCTGTTTGTCTGTCTGTCTGTTTGTATCCAATAAACGTCAAAACGGCTGAACCGATCGGGCCCAAATTTTTTGTGGGACATCTAGGGACCCCAGGGAAGGTTTATGAAGGATCAAAATTTCAAATATTTGTCTCCATCAAAATTCGATCGTTATTAAATTTTTGAAAATTTTGAAAATCCGCGAAATTTTTTGTGAAAATCCGCGAAATATTTTTGTTTTGTTTTACGATGTACACAAAGAGAACATGTTTACAATTAATTTAGAAGATGGGCGCGAAGCGCCCTCTAAGGCTAGTGTTATATATTGCTACATCATTTATATTTGTCTCAAATAACTTATATTAGGTCAATACATGTATTGTCTTCAAGAATCAAGTAAAAGTTGTATTTTTTATTTAAAAAGAAAAATATTGAACTTTCAGTGTAACTGACATTGCTCGATAGTTTTGAAATGAAGAATGAAATCACATATTTTAGTCTAATATACCCGTACGCGCCTCTCTTTTTCTTTATATCTTAGCTTTAAATGTATTTTGTAAAAAAATAAGAAAATAAAATTAAAAAGTATAATGGTGGATTTGCAAACAATTGATAAATGATTAATGTTTATTGAATCAAATGTACAATCATAAAGACCAGCATGTAAAATGGAATAAATTAAATAAAATTTTTTTTAATTTTATTAACTTATTTTGAATGAAGATAAGCTAGGTGCATCAGAATTAAATTGTTTTTTATTTATTTTATTTTGTCTCTTTCATGTAATAGGGTAATACCTGTTTTTTTTCTGTGATTTCTCCAATTTGTTCTACTTTTTCTTTTCTTTCTTTTCGTGACAAAACTCTAACCAGTTTCACTTATCTATTAGACTCTGAACTGTACTGTACTGCAACTTGACGTTATCGGCTAGTTGTACTGAAATATTTCAAAAAGAGTTTGTGACGATGTATGTGTTTGATTTGAGTAAAGATGGCTGAAGGTTGAGATAGATAGATAGTCTCAAGGATGATAGATAGATGGATAGATAGAGGATGGAGGTTTGAGCATATATTGTGTATACAGCTAACAATACAGTTCTCCTATTCTTTACATTTAAAAAATAATATTTTACATTTAAGTCAACCCTTTTTACGTTCATAAAAACATAAAATCGAATAAAAAAAATTCAAGTAAAATTCTTGAAGAACTTGAAAATATTGAGAGAAAGAGAAATTGAGAAAGTCTGTTGTGACGAAACATGAAAGCTTACGCTTTCTTTTTACACTTTCTCAGACAAATATTATGATTAGGTTGATATCAATCAAAGTTGTTGATTTTTAACTTGAAAAGGATTGTAAATCCCATTTATCAAAGGTAAATCATACATAAGATTAAAATCTTCTTTGTTTTCAATCAAAATTTCTCTTATTTAATTTACAGCTATAAAGAAATAAAACATTTTGCATTTTTCATATTTGTATATTTATAAATGAGCTTTTCTCAAATTTGGGCGTAAAATCAAAACTAGAGGAGCTACGATGTCACAAAGTCGTACAAGTATAAATGTTGCACAAATTTGACCCTCTTTTTTATTCTAGTTGGAAGTGTATTCTCTTTCCAACGTTGTGCAAAAAGCTTTACAAGTTATGAACAGGGAACAGGAATAAAGGGAAAGGAAATGGCGCTGGTCCGGCTAGAGAAAGCCAGTCGCACTGCTTTGCAGACCAGTACAGTAAACTGACACACACTCTTCTGGTACAGACACACAACATGACTACAGTCAAGGAAATTGTAGAACAATGTCGTCGATTATAATTAAATTTGAATAACGAGTAGTTTATTGTAAACTTTAATAAAATTATATTCTTTGCATAAAAATTTGGCTTTTTAGTGTTGACTTAAATATGTAAATAATATATTACATGTATATTAAACATATTTTTATTAAACAATTAACAATAAACAAATGTACTCTCCTAGACTGTACAAATCCCGAGATTCTTACGTACTGTTGTAACAAATTCTAGAAAACACGAAGACGATTACTACTGTGTAGCGAAGTTGACCGCGGAAGATTCACAATACTATAATACTATATCCGCTCCAAATGTGTCTCCTCATGTTCCCCCCCCCCTTACCGCCTCTACTTGTGGGGAACAGCGTCAGTTAGCTTTAGAATGTCGAGATGTGAACACCTCTGATCTGGAACTACTAACTCCTTCATACTGCCGCCGATGTCTACTCTAGCAACAAATGCTGCTAATGTCTAAGCCTCCATCATGTCCAAATCCACAAAGCAGTCGCATGTCCCGGGGTTGAGAGGCAATTCAAGTTCCTCCCTACACATGTTACAGACTGCAAACCCTCCAGGACCGTCGCCTAGATGTGAACCCTTTGCTGCCAAGATGCTGACACCTGTGAGCTGACCATCATGAAGCTCCAACTGTTCCATTCCTTTCAACACTATTAATCAATGTTATTTCATTTTCAACCGTTTAGATACTCCCAATTAAGGGCCAATATTTTTAAACTTTGCTTTTATTTCTCATTTCATGCTATTATTCAATAAAGTTACCGAATATCCCTGTTGTTCTTTTATTTGTGTCACCATTGTGTCAACAACTGTATAAACCTACAGTACAAACCTTTGGTACAGTAAAATGACACACACTCTTTTGGTACAGACACACACACATGACGTTTCCGCCCCCTGGTTATGAATCAAATTTTTAGACCGCGTCAGCTTTGAAGTGTCGCGACTCCATATAAATACTTCAACGTGCCACGCGCTTGTTTCAATCTCCAGTTAAAAAGGAGTGGTTGGGATACCCCTAATATATTTTAACTCCAAATTTCCGGTAATTTACCAAAATAATGTTAATCATAAATTACATACTCTACATAGTTATACACATATTCATTTAACAAAAATCAGGGATTACTAATAAAATTAGTTTATGTTTTTTATGTAGCAATTTAAATAATGTGCAAAATACTTGCAAAATTTTCAAAAAGTGGGTCAAAAAAGATCGATAAAAAATTCCCTGAAAAAAAATGAATGAAGTTATCGTAAATTTCTTTAGTTTAGTATTACACAGATGTTTAAAGTTAATGTATTTAACAGAAAAAAAATCATGCATTATATGACCTATTATAAATAGTCTAGTCTTCATCCGCCCTCACTTTCCCCATAGATAAATAAATAAACATAGATAGCTTATGTACGCAAAATCACCAAGAATTGTACAGTCCGAGAACTCATACTTCTAGGGGTCAAAGTGTACTTCAATGAAAAGCGGGGTGGTTTGGTATTTTAATGGATTTCATAATAGGGTGTAAAATAACTCCGGGAATGAAACTATTTGAACAATAATATTTCACTAAGCAAAATATCATATTGACGAGAACTGAAAAAGAATATGAGAAGGACTAAACTAACTTAAATTTCTCTCTACAGAACTCATGTACACCACAATTACTCAATGACAAAAGAACAGCCAATGTTCACAACCGACCTAGTTAATCTATATAATAGTAATATCTTTAAAACATCTCTGTACATTTATATCTTTCAAGATTAAAAATGTCGTCTTATGCGCAATCTAATGACTTTCCCCCTCTTTTAGTTACTGTACAGACACTTTCCCCCCCAGAGGGTGAAATTAATGTAAGTGGTCGATAGGGTTTGTGCGCATTTTTACTGAGACGTGCCACAGTCGCCACAGAGCCCAAAATTGAGTTTCGGCATAAAACTATCGGAACCCGAGTTTCGTGAATGGGTGTAATCAAAACAAAAATTGTAAACAAATACGGCCAGAAGATTCTTTGGTATCTTGGCACTATACAGCTTTTGCTCGCCGAACAAATTTTGAGAAAAATCATGGGAAAAAATATTGTAAATTATGTACACCAAAAATATATATATTATTTAGTATTATTAATATGGTTTGAATATTTTTGGCTATTTCGTAGCAAGATGAATTATTTTAGGAGTTAAAAATATCTGTGATATATAAGCACTGTGATTTTTAGAAAAATGTCTCTTCTCAAACTAAGAAGTAACAGGTTAAATAAAAGATCTGTTATGAGGCAATGCTAGATTTATAACGGTACCCTTAAAAGCTTGCTAGATCAAGTATAACTTAGATATTCAAAGATAAACACGTTTAAACGTAGAAAAACGACAATATCTTCCTCATTATTGATCAGATGAATGTTTTTAGTGTACCATTGTGAATCGGGCATTGCCAAATTTGTTTCAGACAAAAACTGGAAAATATTTTTTGTTGATTAAAAAAAATGAAGAACGAAGAAAACTTTGTTGAGTGAATATTTTTAGAGAAAAGTTTTGATAATATTTTGTATTTCACTTTATGAAGAATTGTCATTTGTAGATCAGTTTATTAAAAATTATCACTTTTTTAAAAGATTATAATTTGAAGGTCCTAATCCTAATGTAAGACGATAAAATAATAATAATTTTTTGCATAATCAATAGTGCGGAATTCACATCGTTCCCTGCAAAGAATCTGCAGGTGAAATCAAATTTATTTTTATAAAATAAAAGTTAAATAAATCTTTAACGTTTTTAATCATATGCACGAACTTTCCTTGTTGAAGAGTTCTTGAGAATATTACTAATATTTTGAATTTCTCATTAAAAGTACGTATCTAATCAAAACAATAGGCTGTAGGAGGTCACAATGTTGTACCAGTAATTTCACATAAATTTCACCTCCTCAGCTTTTGTCTAGTTTGCTGCAGTAGTGATGTTTACGGTAGAAAATGTCTGTTGAAGGCATTGATAAAAAGACATACAGCAATTGAACCCCAAACTGACATTTTCTTTTTTCTATGTTTTCGTAAATTTTCACTATAAAGTTGTGATTTGCAACTAACCTTATATCAAAGTATAAATCACAGTGTACTAGGAGCCTCAATTTTTACCCATTTAATTAAGATTTTATTTTTTGTTATTTTTTGTTGGACTTAACATATCTTTCAACGTTATCCTGGAATTCAAATCTTTGCAATTTGAAAGTTAATTCATGCAAAATGGGCTAGACTTAAATCGATAGCCAATCATAAAATGACAAGTTTTTAAATAAAATTTTTGTTATTTGGGAAATCTTTGGCATTTTAAAGTGGTACTCTACAGGTACGGTTTCCGACCAAATATTTATTGAAAAAAATTCACGAAATATCACAGAAGTAACGAAGGAAATTCATCTAAAATTTTCGCAAATTTTTTACGAAATTTTCAACCTCATTTTTGCGACATTTTCCTTCAATTTTCTTCGATTTCAATAGATTTTTTATTGTTCATCCTCTGACTTAACTAAAAAATAATGAAAAAATAAGCACGTCACGAAAGATTAAAGTTGTGACCTCCATATCTACATATTTATATTAAAGTTATGACCTCCATATTTACATATTTATATTAAAGTGTTGACCTCCATATTTACATATTTATTTTAAAGTGTTGACCTCCATATCTACATATTAATATTAAAGTTTTGATCTCCATATTTACATATTTATATTAAAGTGTTGACCTCCATATTTACATATTTATATTAAAGTGTTGACCTCCATATTTACATATTTATATTAAAGTGTTCACCTCCATATTTACATATTTATATAAAAAGTGTTGACCTCCATATTTACATATTTATATTAAAGTGTTCACCTCCATATTTACATATTTATATTAAAGTTATGACCTCCATATTTACATATTCATAAATTGTTGTTGTTTAGACTCAACGCCTGCAACGAGCCCGAAGCCTAGATAGAGGTAGAAACAGAGGATTACAAGAAAGAACAGAACAAAGGTTTATTTAAAGATCACTTACTTGGACATTTCAGAAAATTTTTGGACATTTTTGGCCATTTATGGTCATTCATTGGACATTCTATGGATCAAATTTCATAGATGGTGTAAAAAAAATCGTAAAAAGAAATTTTTATAGAAAGGTATTTCATAGGAATAAATTTCACGGGAATACACCACAACGAAAAAAATTTCGTAGGAAGACATTTCTTATATAAGTTTTAGAAAGACATTTCATTAAAAGACATTTTATGGAAAGGATTTTCGGAGAGAGGCAATATGTAGAAAGACAATTCGCAAAAAGTCATTAGTAAAAAGAAATTTTATAGGAAGACAGCTTTAAGAAAATCATTTCGTAGAAAGGCATTTCTTATATTAGAATATATTTAGAAAGCTATTTTATGGAAAGGCATTTCGGAGAAAAGCAATGTAGAAAGAAATCTGGGAAAATATATTTTATAAGAAGAGAAGAAATTTCATTTTTTTCGAAATATTTTCTATAGAAAAAAATGTAGATAAAGAAATTATATAGAAGATATTTTGTAGAAAGACGTCTCGTAAAAATACATTTCAAGGGGAGACTTTTCAGAGGAAGAGATATCAAGGAAAAGAAAGGACATTTCTGAGATAAGACATTTCTGAGATAGGACATTTCTGAGGTAGGACATTTCTGAGATAGGACATTTCTGAGATAGGACATTTCGAAGATAGGACATTTCTGAGATAAGACATTTCTGAGATAGGACATTTCGAAGATGATAGGATATTTCTGAGATAAGACATTTCTGAGATAAGACATTTCTGAGATAGGACATTTCGGAGATAGGACATTCGAAGATAGGACATTTCTGAGATAAGACATTTCTGAGATAGAACATTTCTGAGATAGGACATTTCTGAGATAGTACATTTCGGAGATAGGACATTTCGAAGATAGGACATTTCTCAGATAGGACATTTCTGAGATAGGACATTTCTGAGATAGGACATTTCTGAGATAGGACATTTCTGAGATAGGACATTTCTGAGATAGGACATTAATTCTGAGATTATAGATTTTAAAGTTAAGACTTTACATAGACATTCATTTAATAAAAAAATATTTTACATATATTTGAAATTCTTAGGTGTACAGTGTACACCATCAGGTTGTAATATTATATAGGGATTTTAGTTTGTGGTGCAAAGACCCAATTTCTTTGGTCAGTTTCCTTTCCTATTTCTTTTCTACTCTAATCGGAAGTCAATTTTATCGAAAATTTGCGATTGAAAACTATACATTTTTAAAAATGTACATTTTTAAAAAGAAAAGTTAATTTAATTCGGTTTTGCGGTTTCTTTAAAGTTTAAACTCTAGCTTTATATGTTTTTATCATTTTGAATTTTTGAAAGAAACTAAGTTCTTGATCTAAACTCTAATTTCATATAATTTTAAATGCTTAAGGTTTTCACCAACAAGTTGCAGACCTGTTGGTGAAAACCTTTGTTATTTAAAAATTTTTATTTCCAAATTGTTTAGATTAGGAGGAACATTACCATCATACAGGAGTAAACGAGCAGTTCTAAACCAAGATGTTAAACCTGTATCACAGTTTACCAGCCTTAGGTGAGAAGGGAAAAATGTGCACAATTATGAAAATATTTCACAAAAGTGCCAATAAGATATTTGTCTTCAAAAACTGATTTCTGAAACGTAGAAATCGTAAAAATCTTCTTCCCCCCCCCAAAAAAAACAAGGCAATTATTATAAATCCGCGGAATTTTTTATTATTGTTTTATCGATGAAAAATGCAGAAAGATTGGCCCCCCCCAAAAAAAAAAGATAAGACATTTCCCTCTATATACGCAAACAAATTCAAATCATAATTTCCAAGTTATGATTCATGTCTTACATGAAACTTTTCCATTTTTATATTTATATATTTACAATCTGTAATGTGACAGTTAAACAATTTAAAAACATCTTTACCTAGTCAATTATAAGAGAAAAACAAAGAAACGATTTATAATTTTTGTATCATGAAACATTTTACTGAATAATTAACAAGTTTTTCTTTGTAATAATATGAATTAACATGTTAGGGCAATTAGTTTCAAGCACTAAATACTGAACATAGTAATAAAGCTGTTAAAGGGACTGTAAACGTTATTTCAAGTGACACACTATGCAAATATTGCAATGTCAGATTCACAACGGTGCCCTTCAAACCTTTATCAATAATCCGGAAGATGTCGTTGTTAGAGGGGCCGACATTGCCGACAATTGGTACTGTCCGGGGCTTCTGGAACAGTCCCAAAGTCCCGGGACTATCCCAGACTTTTGGGTCTCTAAGATTGAGAAATAAACCCGATGGTGTTGGTACTCTGGGTCTTTGGGACAGTCTCAACGTGCCGGGACTGTCCTGCGCCTGAAAGGGTTTAGGAACACGATTTGGAGGTATTTGAGAAAAAATATTGGAGTTTAGTCATGTTGCTACCGAAAAATTCTACTTTTGGCCCCAAAACATTTTGAGGATCGTCTTGGTTTCTGCAAAAGAATGCTTCATCATTCCTCCGAGGACTCAAAACAAGATTTTTTTTCTTACATGTCTCCTTCTGAGCTGTTACATCCTACCAACCCCAAAAGTTATATTGTTTGGAGCAATACTGTTTATAGTGATTTAACATATTATGTTCCAGTTCCAAATTTCCACTCTTAGAAAGGGTGTGTGTAGGTGCTTTGTGGGGCAAGATCTTTTCTGGCCTCACAAACCTCCACAACTAATATTGACCTGGAATATTACTGTATTAACATCCTTAAGACAAATGTGTTTTAAATATTGAAAAAAATGCATTTAGAGGTTTCAAATTTAACCTTGAACCTGTTCCAGACATGTCTCAGTTAATATTTCAGCAGGACGGCGTTCGTACTGACACTGCCCTCAGAAAATATTTCACTTCTGGAGCAATGGTATAAGAATAGATCATCCAGTTTCTAGTTGAAAATCTGGAGCAATGGTATGAAAATAGATCAACCTTGACCAGTTTCTAGTTGAAAATCTGATGGCTATTCTCGATGATAAGCTTGAGGACGTCCAACCCCGAATATCCAGTCTCCAGTCTCTGAAAAAAGACTCTAGATAGCTTTTACTAACCCGCCAACTCTTTTAATCCACCCTTTATATATGATTGAATAGGAGAGGGTTTACACTGAATGGAAATCCAATTCTAACAAAGGAGGAAGAAGAGGAGATTATATCCAAGGTACAATTTATATTATTGTTATATTTTCAGGATTTTAGGTCGTCTTTACAGTCTCATCCATTGTGGGTAACTCTGTATCAATTTAAAGAATTGCATCGAGAATGTCTCAAATAGCAGGATTAAATCCGAATCAAGTTTGAATTTGATCACATATAATTTTATTTCTATTTGTAGCGTCATAATAGGAGAAAATACAATATAATCTATTAAACGCTATTAAAAAAAAATTTTAAAATGTGAATAAAAACTTTTGAAGGACGAGGATTCGGCCTGGGTTTGGTGGGCTATCTATCTATTCCTTTTCTGCCTGAGTATAGCAAACTTGATCACATCTATTCTTGTAATCAGGTAAACATTGCAATAACCATATTTTATGCCCTAACTTGACCAGATTTTCTAGAAATATAGTATTTTCAAGGATTGTCAAGTCATAAACAAAAAAATGCCAAGTCAATGTGAATCAATGTGTGTCCTGAATGAGTATCCAGAATGTTTGTCCTTATTAAGCGTCTATGATTTCCCTTCAAATGTGCGTCCTTATATGTGTTCTCAATTAGCGCCCCTAACAATGCGTCCTCCTCTATGTGTGTTCTTAATATGCGTTTTCAGTAGTTCCTCCTCATTGGGCGTCCTAAATTTGCGCTCTTAATAGTGCGTTCTCAATGTGTTCGTCGCCAGTGTGTGCTCTAATAGTGCATCCTCAGTGTGCTTTAATAAACATGGGAATTCAGTGACGAATTGGATACCGTCTCTGTTATGAATTAGCATTGTAATACCTGATTTCAAAAGCCATAATTTTATTATGTATACTAGAGAGAGTTTATTTTATGAAAACGGTAAATGGTTGTAAAGAAGTGTCTATAATGTCTCTGAAAGATAAACAGTGAAGACGGACAAGTTTACCTTGTTTCAGTCAAAACATAAACAAACAAATTGTAAACAAAACAGACGAAAATTTTACGGATTACAGTTTTCTCAGTAGGTATCAGTACTAAATAAATTATTTTAAAAGACGATATCGAATTTGTCACTGAATTCTCCTGTTTATTGGGACACCATAAACGACCTCAGTTTCCAATCATTGTTATAAAATATTTTAATATTTTTTACAGATTACTAGGTGTGGGGCTAGGAGGCCTCGAATACCTGGAAATATCGGAGGCTGAAAGCGAGGTTTTGATGTGGGGAGAGGCTGACCTAGGGAGTATTTTAGTAAAGTAAGTTGATTAAAACTCAAAGCTAGAAGAACCTGGAAAATAAAGTATTTTTGATAACAATAATCCCCAAAAACAGTTTGGAATAGGAAAACTGCAGTTAGACTTTTGACCCAATAAACATGGGAATTCAGTAACGAATTCGATACAGTCTTTTTAAATAATTCAGTATACACTAAAACAGACCCATTTCACGCAATACATTGATTTTTAAGCTTCTGGAATATAACGATTATCCATGTTTGCTTTGTAACAACATAAAATACAACTAAGATCGCATAAATGTCGACTTCCATTCCAAAGTTATAGGTCTTACTGTAGATATAGATTTGTCGATCTTCATTGTGCTGGAATCTTATTTGATACATTCATTTCAAGAAGTAGAGGTGCAATAAATACGACATTATCCAAATAATTTAATTTTTGCTAAAAAATACCTTTGAAAGTTGCAAAATCTTAAAGATATATATAGTCAATCCCATAATTGACAAATATTGACACATGACAAATGTTATTAAAGCCATTTTTTAAATATGTAAGCTTTAAATCTGCAGCTCAAATGACAAAAAAGTTCTAAAACGAGGATCGAACGATCAAATTCGTTAACTTTCTTTATCGTTAACAATTATCCACCGTTTAAGAACAGCTGGAACCGTTCTTGATCAAGAGCACAAATAACGGAACAGAACAGAACAGGGATGGAACGATAGGACAAACGATCCAACTGAAACGAGAAACGAAAGATTAAAAAAGGAACACGCCAATCCGTATAGTTGCAGCCGGATAATGTAATTTGACCTTTTTGCTTCGGTACCTTCAGGCGTAATCAAAATTTTTGTAGTTCACTGTTTTTGATCCGCTCCTTTCTAAAAGTTCTAAATTATTTTAGGGATGGTGAGATAACTGGATATGAGGGAGAACCCCTTCACTTTGCATCTAAAGATAAACAGGTAACTGTAAACTCAGGTTCGTTTCAAGTGCCGCGGACTGACCTGTTACATATTATTACATATAAACTATACAAGGTTACCCACAAAGGATGTGACTTCAGAGATGATTCTACGGAATTTGATTAGTCCTTTTTCTTGCATATAGGGCTCCTTGAAGGCCAAAACTGGCATATTTCTGTGCTTAATCATTTTATAAACCATCAAAATAATCAATTAACTGCAAAAACTAAAAATCTAGCGTTACATCGCCATATTTTAAGAGTGTTGGGTCGTCTTCGCAGTCTCATACTTTATGTATGATCCCAAAAAAGGACTGAAATATCCCAATTACACTGTCTTAAGTCAGCGATAGATGTTTCATTTAATTAATGTATTTATCCAATTTGGTAATCTTATCATGCTTCAATTTGAGATTGAGAAATCCATAGAACCCTGAAGTAGGAAGACGACATTTGACTAACCGTGTGTGTGTTCGATGTTGTTATAAAGCAAATAGTTTACCAGTAGCTTAAAATTTACTTTAATTATATGAAATAGGTCTGTGTAAATACACTGCAAGCAATTGTGCTGTATTTTGCGGTCATCGGAATATTCAAAATAATAACATGATTCAAAGTCGTCTTCCTATTTATCAGTTTTATGGGTCCTATTGTATGGTTGGGTTTTTAGAATTGATCATGTTCAGATTGAGGTTCAAAGTTTTGGATTGAACGGACCCAAGCTAGATATTAGCAACAGAAGTGTTTCTCTTCAGAATATTCACGATTTCAAGTAAAGTACTTTATTTATTCCCTATTTTTAAGCAACCTAATTTTATCCTTGGACAATTTAATTTAGCAGAGTTTATAGTTTAACATATTAAAGGTATTCACTGTCAGGTTGCAAAGATCAAAGAATTAGAAAAATAGAATTTGATTTAATTTATCAATTTTTAAAAAATCAACAAGATGTCAATTGTTGTACCCTAACAATTTACTTTAGGACTGATCATTCGTCTCAAACTCTAACTTCCTGTTTCGTATATCTTTTAACCAATATAATATTGTATACCTTGCTGCACCCTAGTTCAGGAGAACTATAATATAATATTGTATAGTTTGCTGCACCCTAGTTCAGGAGAACTATAATATAATATAATATTGTATAGTTTGCTACACCCTAGTTTAGGAGAACTATAATATAATATAATATTGTATAGTTTACTGCACCCCAGTTAAGGAGAACTATAATAAAATGTATAAATATAATATTGTATAGTTTGCTGCACCCTAGTTCTGGGGAATTATTCTTCTCTTCATCGGACCCTGAGTGGAAAATTCCAGAGGTTTGTCATTTTTAATAAACTGGGCGTCCACGGCGCTTTGCCCATTTTCGATTGTAAATTTTAATTGTGGCTCTATCTGAGTTTTTTTTTAGTTCTGCCCATCCATTAACCTTCTCTGGGGTCATGTGAGGTTTTATAAAGCATTAGGGCCAGAACGGTTCGGCTTTTAGGACGCTATGCGCCCATCCTCCATTTTCTAATCCCAATATCTTGCCAGCTCAATGTCGTAGAATATTGATATTTCAAACTTTGAATTTTGTTAGTACAACTATAAGTCTAGATTTGAAAGATCGAAAATTTACACCATCAGTTTGCATAGAAATTTAGAGTTTGTACATGAATTAATGTGGGTTATTTTTATAAATCGTTGATGATTTGAATAAATGTATGACAATTGTTTTTATTACTGCAGGGTTTGAAGGAGTTGAGAGTAGATGAACTGAAGGTTGGAGAAGGTGGAATTATATCTCCACCAGGGAACCAGCTCAGGGTTCAAGCACAAGGCCAAGTTAGGATCAGGTATCAGATTAGAGATGAAAACTTTAGAATTAGATACCCTTAGTATAAGCTCAATCTAGATATTCACAAGAATGCTTTTTATTTCTGCTGAATCCGCTTTTATCCTTCTTTTTGAATATTCATACCGAATTCCCACCGATTAGAATTTTCCCGGCTTCTGATTGGCTGTTCGGGTTTTTCCATACGCCACACTGATTGGTTGAATTTAATGCAGTTTCTTGGATACAAACTAAAGATCAAAATAATCTTAAGATTAACAAAAAGAGGAGATCTAGTATGAAATTTGCGGGATGTCCACAATTCTAAAGTTTTCAGCTCGGATCTACACAATCTCTATCATCACTATAAAAAAATGTCTCGATACCAAAGTGGTGATATTCGCGACTGGACGGAATTCATTTGAATTAGCACTTTGGCAGCCAACAAATATCACTTCATTGCAACATTAATGTAGAAAAAATCCTGTAGACCATTTTAAAAGAGATTCAGTGTAACTTATTATTCAAATTTGATCTAATATTAAATATTTAAAGTGGTGCGGAGGGTAATGTTGTGGAAGGACGAAGAGTGGAGCTAATATCTCGAGATTCTATTCTTCTTGAGTCTACTGGAGCCAGGGGAGGGGTGGAGCTAAGAGGGGGCGTATCCTTGGATACCGTCATGCTTCCCAGGGGAGGAGCAGGATTTCAGGTTCAAATCAATTGAGTCTTTTCCACAAACTCTGATTTTCTATTCCTTATATCTTTTCAACCCAGTGAATTCTGCTAGATCAAATAATTTAAGTTTAAAATATCAAAGGTTTACACCATCAGATTAAGAACATAGGGATTCAAAAATTTAATTTTGTGGCAAAGACTCAATTCCTTAACATTGAAGATTTAAATAGTTCAAATGATTTCATTTTTCATTATAAAGATAATTTGTCTAAGAAAGAATCTGTTTAAATAAACTGATCAATCGCTTCAAACTTTAATTTTCCAATCCCTGTATTTTTCAAATCTGTCTGTTGGTTTAAACCTAACTTCAGTATGTTAAAGTGTTGTAAATAATTTGAATTTGAAAAATTACAGTAGAATAGAAGAAAAGATTTCCATTTTTGAAACCTAAAGACTAAAGTTACTTTCTTAAAAATTGATATAATTAAAAGAAATGGAAAGTTGTGTGGGCTCTGCACACATGTTCAGTTATGATCTAAAAACTGAATTTATTGCACTGCACACATTTATGGGTTTCCAATATTTTCTACAATTTGGCGCGAACTTTTAGACAGTATTACGTAGTTACAACCTCATTTTTAAATTCGTGAAATAATGTTGAATAAATCTTAACTTATTTTTAGGATGAAATATCTCAATATAAGCTTTGTATTTGTTTACCATCAGGGAAACTCTTTAAGGTTAATATTTGAAAAAACTAAATTCCGAAAAAAATTTTGTTTATTATTTGCAATTTATAGTTTACAAGGCAGCAGATTTTTAAAATTTTAAAATTGATTAAAATTTCGTAATTTGATTTGATGTGCGTATTATTTACTCTCAGAAAAATTAGAACCAATGAAAAAAGTGATTTAGTGACAAACCTAGCGTAGCCTAGAGTTTATCTGTGACTCATAGAAGGTTCGAATTTCCATTGACTCAAATTTTTCTGAGAGTGAATGGTATAGGAAGACGACTTTATGGCAATACTTCATTTGTGTATTTGATATTGTTACAAAGAAAACAGTCTCACTATGACATTTATTAAATCACTAATTTAGTTCAATGGGTCTGTACTCTGTACTTCACTGCACAATTCCTGTTTTTCATATTCAATGGACTTTTTAAAGTTTTAACTTCATTCCAAAGGTCGTCTTCGAATTTCAGAGTTATCTGGTTATCAGGCCGTAATGTAAAGAGATTTTTAAATTGGCGGGATTCAATGAAAAGTGTTACATATATAAATAAATCCAGCTTTTTATAAAGTAATGTTTATTTTGTTTAAGGTTGAGATGTCTGAATTTCAAGAGGTTGGATGTGCAATGGTTGATCCGAGAAAAAGTCCTTGTAAAATATAAAGGAATTGATTCTTCCTCCCACAAACTCAAATTTTCTAATACCTTTATATATTTGTAATATGATGTCGTAGAGCTTTCATATTTCAAATTATGAATATAGATTACATTAGTTATATGTAAAAATCTCAAAGGTCTTATCGTTGTAAAGATAAAGAGAAAACAAAATTTGAATTTTTGGCGGATCAAGTGTTCGGTTCCATTGTTAGTTAAAATTCTTTAATATTTAAAATATACAATTTAAACTCAAAAACATTGTGATGAAATAATAGTGATTCATTTTTCAAATCAAATTCCATGTTTTTCTGGCATAAAGTATTAAAAGAAATTTTAACAAAACAAAAAGTTTTTTTAAAAATATTATTTTTGAATTTTAATTTTTTTCACAATATTCTTTAGATAGCTAGATGATATCAGATGTAAATATTTTGACTTTTCTATATATCTTGTTTTTCATTTACTCCTTGTTCATACATCTTAATTCAATCATATTTCGGCAATTTTGAAAGTTTCAGTAATTTGCCGCCCTTCCATTTTTCCTTTACAGTCCCTTTAATATACCCCCTTTCATTTTTCCTTTACAGTCCCTTTAATATACCCCCTTTCATTTTTTCTTTACAGTCCCTTTAATAATACATTTTTAATAATTTTTCTTCTAGAAGGTTCTCTCAGCCTACAACGTTACTCCTGATTCAATAATAATATAATATAAAGTATTTAAACAACGTTTAAAACATAGAGAAATAAAACGAAGAGGTGAAACTTAGCTCAGATGTACACAACCGACCTTTCTATTAATTGATTAATAGACAGTTCGGTTGTGTACATCACGATATTTTTACGCTGTACAGAGCGATCGTATTTCTAAGGAGTGGTTTAATGTAGATATTTGAATATTAGTATTGATAATTAGATAGATTAGGTCGAAAAAATGTAAAAAATAATTTTTTGTTTAAAACAAATATCAAAGTGTGACACACTTTTCTACACCCATTTTTCAAGGGCTTTTCAAAACTATAGTTTTCAGATCTGTAGCTTTAACCATTAAAAAAGTTATGGGCTATTTAAGAGATTTTTACATTCTCTGGTTTTTTATCGCCCTGCACCCTACCTTAGGCATAAAAATTACCAAAAAATCCTTTAAATTTCTATTTATAAAAAGTCAAAAAACTAGAGGGGGGAGCCAAATGCCCCCCCCCCCGCCTGTTTAGTGTTAGGAGCTCCAGGTCGTCATCGTTGTTTCATCTTTGTGGGTAACCCTGCGTACACTATCATGTTTATGATAAAGAGTTGAAGAGAAGAAACAAAAAAAAATGTTTGAAATCAGAATGTTTGCAGTTAAATTCATGCCCTAGAAACTTAATATTTTTGACAGAACTTTTAGCTAATAAATTGAAAACCTACAAATTTGAAAATTGTCAAATAGTTGCAGTCAACATCCTCGAATTCTCTTTAAATGAAGAAAGAAAATCTAAAAATTGGTCAATTCCATCAAATCCCCCTTTAGAAATACGATCGCTGTATATACAAGTGTACAGCGTTAGATACGTAAACATATCGTGATGTACACAACCGACCTGTCTATTAATTAATTAATTTAATAGACAGGTCGGTTGTGTACATCTGAGCTAAGCTTCGCCTCTTCGTTTTATTACTCTATGGTTTAAAACATGACACATTATTAAATTTAAAATAAGAATCCGTAAAAACTATTAAACAAATATTGTAAAACCAAGACCCTTAGTAAACCATCATTGCTATACATTTTTGGTCGGAAAATCAGAAATCCCTTATTCAAAACATTCAGTTTATTTCTCTCGATAAAAAACAACATTTAAGACAATAATCCTAAATGATCGTTAAAAAAAAACAATTGTTTTTCGTTTTTAAAAACGTTTATTTGTTATAAAAACGAAACGATCGTTTTTAGTATGAACGAAATGAAAAATGAAAGTTTGTTCGATCGTTTATAAAAACGATTAACAACCCTACATGTTACACCCAGTTCTGTGAAGTAACTAGGATGTAGATTTATTACTAATTCAGTCAAGAAAGGTTCCGCCGTTCATTTTCTAAAGTTTTTAATGATTTATCTATTGAATCTACCTTAAAAGTGAATCAACTAAAAAGTTGTTGAGGACAAAATAGTTCAACCAGGAAAAAATTAAAAGTACAGCACAATTTCATATCGGTGACATGGAAACAGATCAAAACGGAAACAGATCAAAAAAATCCCGGAAGCCTCTTGATCATTTGGAATTTTATGCGTTTTCTGCTGCTTTCTCGAAAATCCCTCAAAACTCATTTTATGAGGAATTTCCCGTTTTATTATTCCGTTTCCAGAATTATACATTCGATTACGCTTTTTATGGGTTATATATTTTTAGGGATTTCTCAATATTTTGATCCGTTTCTTCTTATTTTTGATCCGTTTGATGGTTTCCAGAAAAAGCTTCAAATTCTCAGTTTGTTGATCGAATTCTTCTTTTATTCGATCTGTTTCCGCATATTTTTGGACCGCTTCTTGTTTTTAAAAAAAATCATAATTTTCAGTTTTTTAATAGTTTTCTATTTATCAAATTATGGGTATGAAGGGACTATATGCGTTATTCAAGTGGCCTTTATACAATTAGATGACAATAGCATATTCACTATGTTACCTTTGAAACCGAGGGTCAATTCACTTGAAATTATGCTTACATAGGCTATAAAGTCCCTTTAAGGTCTTTATAAAAAATGGCACTGAAATGTTTAAAACTTTATTCCTAAAATTAAAGGATCCAAAATATGCGGAAACGAATCGAATCGAAATAAAAGGAAACTGGTCAAAAAAACTGAGAACTTAAAATTTTTATTGAAAACCGAAAACCGATGAAAAGTATGCAGAAACGGCTCAAAACAGAGTGAACCAATTAACAAACAGAGATTTTTAAACTTTTCCCATAAATTCGCAACGGATCAAAAATATGCGGAAACGGATCAAAAACAAGAGGAAACATACTCAGAATTTATAACGTTTTCTGAAAACCGGAAACGGACTAAAATTATGCGGGAACGGAACGAAAAAAAAATAAACCATTCAACAAACTAAAAGTTTATAACTTTTTCGGAAAACCGGAAACTGATCAAAAATATTCGGAAATGGGTTTAAAAAAACGGAAACAGATCAATACTGAGAATTTAAAGCTTTTTCCTGAAGCCGGAAACCAAAATAAATGAGACAAATTAACTGTAAATATAAAGGAAACGGATCCATAAATACTGTCAAGTTTGTGAGGGATTTCCGGTAATTCTTGGAAAAAGACGGAAATTCCTGAAAAAATTCCGTGTTGAGGCGTTTCTGTGTTGATCTGTTTCCATGTCACCGTCAAATCCATAGAAATGATCTAAATATAAAATCTTCTCTTTGCTCTGCTCTGAACCCAGCTCCGCTGCCAGATGATATCACTGCATTGGCGGCCCAACCATGTCAGAGTCAAGTGTCATATGATAAAAAATAGAGTTCAGCAGTGTTAAAAAATAACACAATATGTTAAAAATATGTTAAAAAATAACACAGAAACTACTGAACATGAGGAGGAGGCTTTTCAAGCCAACCACCGATCAAGCAATGTTTCAGAAGTTATCAACTTTTTTGTCTTCTGCTACATGTTTATCAATCTCTTGGTGTCTAACATTGCTACATGGACAATACGTGGATACAAGAGGTCTCTCCCGTACCTCAGGATAAACATCATTCTCATCCTTAATAGCTTTCTGGTGGAAACCTTCAACGTGATCGTTTCAATCACGGTAAAACTGTTTAAATTTTAACATTTAAGTATTCCGGCAAACTCTTGAAAAAAAACCAAGTTTTTGCCGCAAACTCAAATTTTCTATGCTCTGTATCTTTGCAATCTGATTATGGAATCCTTTTTTATTTTAAACTTAGACTATTTCATCAAACAGAATTAATAATTTGAAATAGAAAAGGTCTACAAAAATGGGTTTCAAGGATAAAGGGGAAACAAAGAAAGAGATTGTGGCAAAAACTCATTTCCTTTCACTAAAATTATTGAAAAACTAAAAAAATGGAATTCTATTTCCAAGGGACTCGTTTCTGTATTCTGTTCTGTGGTTTGGATACCCTACTGGATGGCCTGTATAGTGGTAGCTGCAATCTTCTACTCAATAAACCTGGCCCTACTTATGGCCATGACAATATCGATTTCCAGGCTACTTATGATCGTCAAGGTAAACACTAAAAGTTTACTTAACATCAAAATTAGAAAAAAAAACATTTGATAAATAATGTTCTAGTTTGATGAAATGATTGAGCTTGAGCCTGAACGGTTGTCAAGAAGAATTCTTCAGTTCTTGCTTGTGACTGTCATGATTCTGATGGCATACCCAACACATGTTATCTACGCTACTGGTATCTATAAGCCACATAAAGGGACTGCAAGCGTTATTTCAAGTGACTCTCCATACAAGGATGGCTATGTCTGATTCACGACGGTACCCTTAAAAGCTTTGACTGATCAAGATTGTATTAGAAATCAATGTCTATAATTAAGTTAACTTTGAAAACTAGTTATTTTTCAATTCTCGCTTCCCTACAAAGTACCTTGCTCATTTCTACAAGAATACATTTTGAAATTAACAGAATTAAATACTTTTCATCTTTTTAACCTAGAAATATAACAATATCTTTCACATCACAGATCAGTTAAAGGTTTTAAAGGGACTGACCGGCAATGTATGGTAGTTAAACAGAGAATGAATATTATTCAGTAATTTTTTAGGAATCATTTGAGACCTATGCATATACAGGGTGTCCCAAAAAACATGGGAATTCAGTGACGAATTGGATATCATCTTTGTTATGAATTAGCATTGTAATACCTAATTTCAAAAGTCATGATATTATTATTTTTGATAGAGTTTATTTTATGAAAATGGCAAAAGACTGTAAAGATGTGTCCATAATGTCCGCGCAAGATGAACAGTGAAGACGGACAAGTTTACTCTGTTTGTATACTGCAATTTTCTTGTTTTACTAAGTACAACCGTATGCAGTCAAAACATAAACAAACACAATGTGAACATAGCAGACGAAACTTTTACAGATTACAGCTTTCTCAGTAGGTATCACTTTACTAAATCAAAGAATTATTTAGAAAGACGATATCGAATTCGTCACTGAATTCCCATGTTTATTGGGACACCCTGTATTGGTTCAGCAAGAGCGCAAATTCAAACTTTAAAATCCTCAATCCTGCATCATAAAAACGTTTTATATATCCCAAATGATTCCCTAAAAATTTTTCCACAATACTGCATTCTCAGTTCATCACCATACAATGCCCGTCACTCCCTTTAAGGGTTCTTTCGTGATTAGAGCATTGTCGTCTTTGCATGATTCTAATGTATGGGAGGGGGGAGTTGTTTCCCTTTGGAGTTTTTTTAAGGTCTAATTTTCTGTACAAGCTGGTAATGAAAAATTTGCGTTCTGATCATGCAATGCACCTTTTTACTTTTCTAGGGGGATGAATAGGCAACTTCCGGAACATTTCACGTTTTTAATCCAAATCATGCTGAGGATGATCTTAATTTATGCCAAAAAAAACGCTTTGCCAGACCTAAAATGCAGAATTTTTTTATTAACATAGGTCATGTGTCACCACCAGTTCAGTTTTGGACTGGACTAAAAAGCTCTGAATCTATCAATCCTTACCTCATACTTGCCATTGCTCTTGGACTGGTTGGTATCATCTTAACCATGGGACCATATATCTATGGAAAATACTATCTTAACAAATACCACGCTATCAGGAACCTTTAAAAACACATGTTGAAGGTTGAGATATTTATTATGTTTGTTCATCATTCAGTAAAGATTTTAATTCGTTTGTTAGCTGAATTATCCTTCATTTTCATTCTATTTTTTCAACTGAATGGTTGTTTAGTAAAATCATATTTAATACATTTTTGTTTAATGGGTTGGAAATATTCTATCATAAATGTTCAACCAAGCTGTATTTTTATTGATACATGTTATAGTCTGGAGAAAGAAGGATCGTTACAAAACATGATAGATATGAAATCTATCATTCCGGCTATAGTGCTTCTATTCGTGATCGGGCTACTGGCTTTAATCTTACACGATGTCGATCATAGTCTCATTCCGTTCAATGCCGTCCTGTTGGTAAACCTCATCACTGGGGTTCTTGTTAATTTCGCTCACAATCCAAACATCAAACAGTTTTTCTTCCACAAGATGTCCTCAGAAGAAAACCATCCTAAGAGAGAAATTAAGCGGCTACAAAACCTCTATCTTAAAGATAAAACTTGTCAGAGTAGGAGTATCTAATGTAGTGGAAAATTCTTAAACGTCATTAAAGGGACTGTAATCGTAAATTCAAGTGACCAGCCATGCAAATATGGAAATGTTCAATTAACCCTATTCCTGCTGGGGGGGGGGTCAATTTGACCCACCCCCCTGTAGTTTTTTTTACATAACTCAAAAAGTATTGGTCTGAGGCTGTTGAAATTTTCTGACTTTTCTTACAAACCCAAAGCCCTCCCTTTAGGCCTAAAACCGGGCTTTAATACTAACTGCCTGAGTCCTCAGGCACACTGCCTAAATGACTGCTTTTGCCTGTAACAAACTAAATCTTTGTTTTGACCCACTTTCACTTGTCAGATTTTGATAAAATTTAGCTTTTTGGAAAGCCTATGACATAAGAAAACGGATTACACAAGTTTTGCGAAAAAAAATTGCAATTTTTTGCAAACATCCTGTCAAAGGAAATTTGCACATTTTTAGTTTTTCTTGATTAAAAATCAGGTTATTTTAAATTTTGCAAAAATTTTTGCATATTTGAAATGGCATGGTCAAGGGATTTTTAAAAATGTATAATTTTTCATTTTTTGGACAAATTTTTTTTGCAAACATTTTTACTATTTAACTGGATTTTGCGATAAAAAATTCAATTTTTGCAAATTTGCAATTTTTTTTGCAAATTCTAAAAGTAGAGCACAAGAGCTTTCTAATGATGTATCATTTGTCATATTTGGACATAAAACATGGGATTTAGAGGGGGGGTCAAATTGACCCCCCCCCCCCCAGCATATCCTGGTTTTCAAGTACCCCAGCAGGGATACTCTTTAATCTACAAAAACGCTTTCAATTCTTAAACACTTTGTTTGCTGTTTTAAGCTTTAAATTCAAGTGGTTTTCAACAGGACTCTCTTTACTCAATGAAGAGTCAAAGGTACCGTTGTAAATCGGGCATTCCCCTCTATGCATAGAGGGTCACTTGAAATTAAGCTTACAGTCCCTTTAAAATCCTATTTTTACTCAAATGTTTACCCCCAAGGATGTGTACCATCTTTTTTCAAATTTTGCCAATGAAGAAAAAAAAGTATCAAAATTTTACTTTATCTTTTCTAATAGAATTTTACTTTATCTTTTCTAATAGAATTTTACTTTATCTTTTCTAATAGAATTTCTAAAAATTTTCTAATAGAATTTCTAAATATTTTCTAATAGAATTTTACTTTATCTTTTCTAACAGAATTTCTAAATATTTTCTAATAGAATTTCTAAATATTTTCTAATAGAATTTTACTTTATCTTTTCTAACAGAATTTCTAAATATTTTCTAATAGAATTTCTAAATATTTTCTAATAGAATTTTACTTTATCTTTTCTAATATAATTTTACTTTATCTTTTCTAATAGAATTTTACTTTATCTTTTCTAATAGGATTTCTAAATATTTTCTCGTTTTCGACTTAAAGTAAGTCAGTCATTCTTAATTTATTCTCTCAAAAAACCCTATATACACAGGATTATCCTCAAAGGATGAGACTTTAATAACGACCTAAAACTCTTTAAATCTAATGATTTGATTTGGCGTTATATCATAAAAATATTCTTTTAATGGCCTGCTAAATGATATGTTAAAGAAAAAAATAAGTTTGCAGCCAAGGGGGAGCTGGAATGTAAGAAAAAATAAGTTTGCAGCCGAGGAGGAGCTGGAATGTAAGAAAAAAATAAGTTTACAGCCGAGGGGGAGCTGGAATGTAAGAAATAAATAAGTTTACAGCCGAGGGGGAGCTAGAATGTAAGAAAAAATAAGTTTGCAGCCGAGGGTAAGCTGGAATGTAAGAAATAAATAAGTTTACAGCAAAGGGGGAGCTGGAATGTAAGAAATAAATAAGTTTACAGCCTAGGGGGAGCTGGAATGTAAAAAAAAATAGGTTACCAGCTGAGGGGAAGCTGGAATGTAAGAAAAAAAATAAAATTACAGCCAAGGGGGAGCTGGAATGTAAGAAAAAAATAGGTTACCAGCTGAGGGAAAGAAAAAAACGTTATAAAAGAAGATTTCAATAACGACAATTTAATCATTATCTTTTAAAGACAAATCTAAAATTAAACACACAAAGTGTTTAGAAAAAGGAACCTGAATCCTTTTAATCTGGACAAAGGCCGATTTAATGAATTTGAACTGCCTACTGCCGGTTCAAATTCCAATCACCGATTCTAATCCTTCCTTAATCTTTAACTTTGAATCGGTGGTTTAGCGGCTCAAATTAATCTAATTCAATCTCAGGTTCATTTTTCCATATTCACGGTTAACCCTGAAGCTATGTATTGCCTGGGGGGTGTCCTTTATTTTATTTTTGTTCAAAAAACAAATATCAAAGTGTGACACATGTTTCTACATTCATTTTTCAAGGGCTTTTCAAAAATATAGTTTTTAAAATGGGACCTAAAATGTTTGTTTAACACAACAGTCCTATGTAGAACTAAAACACAATTTATCATATTGTGACAATTTGAACTGATATTCGATATTTTCTCAGCCTGATAAATTCAAATGTTAACATGAATAATTTATAGATTGAACTTTACGAAAGGGTATAAATAGCATTTTGTCTCTCCACAGAATCTAGCGTCAGAAGATACAAATAAACACAATCTATTAGATCGCTCATTCCTAAAAATTAAAAAATTGGGGGGATGTCTCCCCCCTGAAAGTATTTTGGGCACAGCTAGCAAGCCATTTAAAGGCGGAACTATACAGCATAGAGTTTGTAATTTCAAACTTTGATACAGTTTTGGATACTAGAACTAGAACTAGAACTAGAACTAGAACTAGAACTAGAACTAGAACTAGAACTAGAACTAGAACTAGAACTAGAACTAGAACTAGAACTAGAACTAGAACTAGAACTAGAACTAGAACTAGAACTAGAACTAGAACTAGAACTAGAACTAGAACTAGAACTAGAACTAGAACTAGAACTAGAACTAGAACTAGAACTAGAACTAGAACTAGAACTAGAACTAGAACTAGAACTAGAACTAGAACTAGAACTAGAACTAGANCCCCCCACTGCTTCAAGCTTTCTTTTTAATGTTGATGGTTTCTATAAGCTACCTACGTACCTCCATACCTAGTCCGTAGTCTAAAACAGAAAGTTCCAGTTGTTTTTATATTCTCTTCCTGCCTGGTTCAAAGTGTTAAAAGTATTTAAGTCTAGTCGATATCATCCGCATTCAATACCAGGATATTTAACCAGTCCTAGTCTGATATTGGAGACAAACGTACCAATCTCATTCTTGTTGTCCCGGAGACGACCAGTCTTATCTGATCCCGGAGTCAACCCAGTCTTATTCTTCTCCCGGAGACTAACAAGTCTTAGACTTATCCTAGAGACGAACCAGTAATAATATGGTGATATAATAAGATCTTCATGAATGGGGTGCATAGCGTACACGAAGTGTACATATTGTATATTTTGAAGCATGGGGCTGAAACTTGATGAAAAACAATGTAAAAGAGACAATTTAAAGATTTTTGAGAATTGTGAATCTTCTTTTTCAATAAATTTTACTCAACTCATCAAAAGTTTGTCAAATACGATTGAAGACGATTTTAAATCTATATTTAACCCTGGCTGGTCTAGAGGCCAGTTCCCTGGAGGGGGGAGGGGATCAAGGGGAGGTAAAGCCTCATTTTAGGGTTAACACAGCACATAAACGAGTATGGTTGAACCCTGCAGTTATTGTAAATTTGAACCGTCTAGTGAACCGGACTACTAAATCAAAATCTCCGGTTGATTCAACAAACAGTTATAGTGAAGAGCAAGATTCGTTAGATGGATACTCATTGAGATTGAATACTTTACCTCCAGGAGAGGTTGAGTTTGGATCCGTCCTGACTCTAGATGATCGTGATACCCTGAGCCTGGACGGATCAACACTTAGTTCCGAAGATGGAGAAAAAAGTTTGGAAGAACGAGCATCGTTTAGAACAACGTTAGCTCGAATCCTTTCACCCTCAAAGCTTGAAACTCTAAATCAATCCTCGTCTCTACACGAACCTCGAAAACTCTCTGCAACTAAAGTCGAACAATCACTAGTTTTAACGAGGCTAGACGAAGATTTAAATAAATCAAATCTGAACATTGGAGGAGGTCGGAGACTGACCTCAAACTATTCTAGAAGGGTTGGATTTGATCTCTCCACTTCTGATGAGAATCTGATGGACCAAAGTTCTAGGAAAACCCTCATCCATTGAACTAATGTTTCACAGAATTTTATTTCAAAATCGTCATTGATCTTTGAAATTAATTGCAGCATTTATTTACCAACCTGATTTTAAAAAAACATTCACAAAATAACCCTAGTTTTGGCATTTCCTTAATGTGGTCTGCCTTTTTAATGCTTTCAAAATATGAAAATATATCGAATTTCTTTAATATTTCAACTTTAAAAAATCGTCTTATTCTGGGTAAAATCATTCGTCTGCAGTAATTTTGAAAGGACAAGTAAGGCAAAGCACATTATGAAAATGATACGGCTAAGCTTATTTCATGATTGTTTCTTTAATGAATCCTTAATGTACATTCGAAAGGTTTCCATTTAGGATATTGCTGGTTAGGAAACTCATTTAAAAAATGGTAATTAGGAAAGTTTTCAGATTGAGAACTGTAGGTTAGGAAGGTTTTCAGTTTCAAAAATTGTGCAAAAAGGATGTTGTTGTCATTTAGTAAAGTGTATATTAGGAAAGATGTTATTTAGGAAATTGTAAATTCGAAAGGTTGTCAGTTTTGAATCGTAAATTATGGGAAGTTTTCATTTCGGAAATCGTACATTAAAAAAGTTGTCATTGTACATTAATTTGGACAGTAAGGAAATTTCTCACATAGGAATTTAAAAATTAAATGCTTTGAACTTTCAACTAGTAAGTAAAAGTGATTTAACTTTCAAAATAGTATATGCAATGTGCATAAATATTTCATTAATATTTCATTTAATGGAGAGGTTTTTTGCACAGAACTGAAAAGAAAAAGGATTCCGGGAAAGGTTGGAGGTCTGCAAGAAAATTATCCCAGGTATTGACAACATTTTTGTTCATATTATATTGAACGAAACCAGAAACTGATATTTAGTTGAAGGGGGGGGGGNTAAATATTTTACGGTGTGAAACTATTTCTGTAATAAACTGTGCCGGAGACGAATCTTTTTTGTTTCTACCCGTATTTTTTATCTGTCTCGGTCGGAGTAATGTCATTTTCATGATTTGTTCCTATTTTAACCTTGAATTATCTGGGAAAACTAAAAGTTTCCCATATTATAGATTGATATACATAAAAAATATTATATTCCAGAAGCACAATTTGTCACTGGATAAACACAGTTCTTGGCGGACATTTATTTTCTATTGCAAATGATTGTTCTGTAAATCCTTCGGATCTTAGTATCATGTTAGTTAAGAAACAAATGAAATATTTTGATGTCCCATTGGAACATGCATGGAAAGTTCCGGTTTTACAAGAACTTTTAAATACAAGAACGAATAATTTATATGTTGAAGGATTCGATGATTACGTAATAACTGAAATTATATATATTTTATGTAATGAGTAATAATCAATGTCGTCTTTTCTTTTTGAAACCTGTATTTTCAAAAAAAATTTTAAACAAATTTAAAATACACCATTTATATATGATTTATATCTTTGTGTGTGAATAAATCTTTATAATAATTATATAAATAGACTGAACAGTATTAAAAGGTCTTCTGCTGACTTCTTCATTTTATAATGCACTTCTGGGGATTTTCGTAATAATACATATAAAAATTAAAAAATGTTTGTTAAAGTTTTGATAAAGTACCATGACAAAAGATCAAACCGTCTTGAGTTTTAAATGTGTTAAAGGTATAACTTTGTAAGTGTATTGCCAAGCCCGATTCAAAATGGAACTCTTAAAAGCTCTGAAAAGTATGAATTAGGTATCAATGTTAATAGTTTAGAAATCTAATCATTTTCAACTGTGGTTTCTCTACAAAAGTGACTTGCGGATTTTAATACTGAAGGCAAATAAATAGGAATTACCAAATCTAAACACTTTTAAACCGACAATAGCTTCTACATTATCTATCAGATAAAGGTTTCAAGGCCCCAGGGGTACAGTTAAGAATCGGGCATTGTCATCTTTGCATAGAGAGTCACTTGAAATTACACGTACAGTCCCTTTAATGTACATCACTAGACTCAGCTGATTACACGTACAGTCCCTTTAATGTACATCACTAGACTCAGCTGATTACACGTACAGTCCCTTTAATGTACATCACTAGACTGAGCTGATTCCTGAACTATTGATTGAGGATCTAGTAATGGAGAAGGTGGAAGAGGGAGGAGGGAAGGATGAGAAGGAAAATGATGAAGATGAAGATAATAGCCTCTGCCGAAGGTATAATATGCAGGGTGCCCCAAAAAACATGGAACCTAATTGACATCTTAATAATCGTCTTTGTTGTACATGACGTTTTTTCGTGTGTACCTTTATATTATACAAATATTATCAACAGCTCCCTTTCATGGGATTTCCAAACTGTTATCTGCATTTGTGAACAGTTGAACCCAGATAACTTTTAGAGTTTTGATTTCAAATAGTTTATAAAACATGAACCCCATCAAATGTGCAGTGTATACAGACCCATTTAACTTGAAAGTGTTTTTGAGCTACTGTTAAAACTATTTGTTTTACAAAAACATGAACCTTGAGGCATTAGTATAATTTGTCCAGATTTTAATTTATTTATATTAAAACATATTTTTCATCAATTTTAAAAAGAACAATTTTAGAAAACTCGTTTTGAATTGGCAATTGCTATTATTTTTATCTAAAAAAAGCCCCTAACCTTTGATTTTAAGATTATTATGGTTAAGTACCGTAACCTACTGGATTTGCCCATTGTGAATATTAATATTAAAATTATTATGGTTAGGTACAGTAACCTACTGGATTTGCCCACTGTGAATATTAATATTAAGATTATTATGGTTAGGTACAGTAATCTACTGGATTTGCCCACAGTGAATATTAATATTAAAATTATTATGGTTAGGTACAGTAATCTACTGGATTTGCCCACTGTGAATATTAATATTAGGATTATTATGGTTAGGTACAGTAACCTACTGGATTTGCCCACTGTGGATATTAATATTAAGATTATTATGGTTAGGTACAGTAATATACTGGATTTGCCCACTGTGAATATTAATATTAAGTTTATTATGGTTAGGTACAGTAATATACTGGATTTGCCCACTGTGAATATTAATATTAAGATTATTATGGTTAGGTACAGTAACCTACTGGATTTTCCCACTGTGAATATTAATATTAAGATTATTATGGTTAGGTACAGTAATATACTGGATTTGCCCACTGTGAATATTAATATTAAGATTATTATGGTTAGGTACAGTAATCTACTGGATTTGCCCACTGTGAATATTAATATTAAGATTATTATGGTTAGGTACAGTAATCTACTGGATTTGCCCACTGTGAATATTAATATTAAGATTATTATGGTTAGGTACAGTAATCTACTAGATTTGCCCACTGTGAATATTAATGACTCAATCATCAATATACCCGGCAACGCTTTCCATTTCAACCAAGGAAACTCAGATTTTTTTATTATTTTTTTATTGAGGAATGAGGGGGGGGGTCCATTTGAGGACATTTTTATATAGTGTTTGAAAATATTTTAAATTATTTTTTCTTTTCCTGCTAACACATTTATACCCCTGTTGACCATAAATACAATTTCTAACCCCCCTCCCGTAGTTTTCTTTACCAAAACCCCTCTTCGATAACCAAACCAAACCAAAGCAAGCCTTCGTTCAAATTTATTTTTACTCTATGACAAAAGAAACAACAAACAGTGAAACGTTTTACTTAGTGAAAGATCAAATCCATAAATAACAATGCCACTTAAAAAATCGGATTTATATTTTCAGAAGTATTTATTAATGTTTTAAACTATCCCATCAAACCCTAAGACCCTTAATCAATGCTTTTTACCCCGACATGGAAAACAATAAGTTATGTTATTAAATATTCAATTACGTTAATACATTGTCATTTAATTTTATTATACCTGCATTTTATTGCAGGTTTGAAATATATCAGTTTACGTGTATTTGCAACTACTGTGTCCGAGTTGAGGAGATTAGTCAATCAGTTAACAAGTCATCATATCAATTGATCAACCAGACTATTATAGTCTATTATCACAAACGCCTGTTTATTGTTTTACAACCACATACTATTTTACTAGGCTTTATACATACTGCCTGAGTGCCTAATTTTTCCTTCGCCAATTAAAGTCATTTGACAAACAAATTACTAAACGAACCAGATATTTTTGCACGCACAACAAAACTTTAAACGAAGTTTAACTTGCTTTGGAACGATTTGACAGGTTCTTTAAAGAATATTAAAAATTGCTGAGTTAGGGTTTGAAAGCACAGGAGAAGATGTTTTTTTGAGTCGAAAGTCTGTATCCACCCCCTGGATGGATCAGGCAGAGTTAATCAACCATCAGGTTACACGTTCATTTTACAAATGATTTGCTTTACAATCTCATTCTCATTTTTTCTGTAATTTTACCGAAAAAAATGTTTCCGCAACAGTAAACATTGTGATCAGTTTTTGGATAGATTTTTTTTATCTGAGGGTCTTATCTATGCAAAATGTACTGGTGTGCAGGGGCACATCCAGCTATTTGAATAGGGGGGGGGGGTCAACCACCCAATAAAACTGGGATAAGAGGGGGGGGCACCAAGCGAAACTTGTGAGTGAGGAGGGGTGCAGGGGGGAAAATAGATAGATAAATGTTTCAAGGGTACCGTTGAAAACCCACAGTACCCTGCTTTGCACGGAGGGTCACTTAAGATTACGCTTACAATTGATTCCTTTAACATTAATTTGATTTTTAGGACACAAGGTTTGTGAAAGACTTTAAACCCTTCTTCTTCCTTTGCCAAATCAGTGGACTTTTCCCTCAGGTTACTTTTTAACCGTGATAAAATAGTTTAAAGGGAATACTTACTTTTTTGAAGATTTACATAATATTTAAATCTTCGGAATGAGGAGCTAAGCACTAGGGTCTAGGACAAAATTTATCGAAACTTTTTGTTAAAGTAATTATAGCGTTTTAACCAAATAAATTCCGGGTTAATATAAAAACATGGATTTTTACTTAATTAAAAAAATAAAATGTTTTGAAAAATTTATATTTTTTCTAGATTTGATACCTTAGGCGTCATTTGATCAAACAATATTGATAAAATCCATGAAAATGGAGTTCACTTTTCTGGCAGACACCATTTGGAGCGATATGTTTCGAAAATTGCGATAATACGTGTACTAACTAATTAATTAATTAATTAATTAATAATCCATTTAAATATTGTTCCACTAAACATAACATTTACAAGACGATTAAAATTTGATCTTTTTTAAAGGGAGTATTCGCGAAAAATGAAAGGGGTATATGTTTACGGCGAAAAATAGGCGCTTTTGATCGCTACTAATCTTACTTATATGAAAATGTCGTCTTCATTATCAATAATCCTCGAAAGAGGATCTACATGTTTTCAAAAGTAGCAATCAAAAGTGCTTATTTTCGCCGTAAGCCTATACCCCCTTTAATTTTTCGCGAATCCTCCCTTTAAAAAAGATCAAAGGACCAAATAGTATATAACGCTTAGCGCGCTTTTCATTAAGCTTATAAATCGTACAACATTTGTTAATAGTAATTCACAGTTTGTCCTTATATTTATAGATGGCTGTCAAAGAGCAAAGTTGACCTTTAATTGTTGCCTCTCCTCAACTCTTACGTTTAGTGGATTGAAAATATATAAAAACTTTTTACGATTGTTGTAATTGTAAAAATTTTAAGAACATTGATGTTATCCAATTTTTTATTTTTGGTCAAGGTCACGTTGATCCATATTCATAGTTTTAAGTCAACCAGTCTTCATTTTCAAGTCCATGCCCCCCCGTCTTGTGAGTTTCCCGTTAAGAAAAGTGAAAAGTAATTTCATCACATAACCTTAGTAAAATCACTTCTCTTTTACATAATCGGCGCACAAGAGAAGTGGTTCAACTACCTCTGTGCAGCTCAACCAATTCTCGATACTTATTAATACTTAAATCTTGGCCATGTTTAAGCGTTACAAAAACAAAGTTTGAATTATTTGAAGTAAAAATATATATTTTAGGAATTATCTTGGAAACTTCCGTTTAGTTGGTGTTACTGGGGAACCTTTGTGTCCTTGGCGCACCTCCTTATTCTCCTCTTCCTATTAGGCTTCTACATAGTTCAGGTTAGTCAGGAAAATAGAAAAAATTTAATTCAAAATGTTATCTAAAATTATGTTTCACATTCTTAAAGCCGGTTAAGGTAGGTCGAATAACATATTTATCTTTAAATACATGGTTGGTATACGCATATTTAAGTACATTTTTGAGTACTCGTTTCAAGTACATATTTCGAGCATACGTATGTACATACCTATTTCGAGTACAAATTTCGAGTACAAATTTCGAGTAACGACTAGAAAATGTATAGTTACTTTTAAAAATAATTAATTTAATTCATTTTGCAAAATTATGGATATACTATTGCAAAGGAGTTCATGACATGTTAATTCGCACAATTTTTTTCTCAGAATGTTCGCAGATGCGAAATTAAATTCTTGCTAAATTTAGTGCTTTTACTGATAATAAGCCGTTTCCTTCTAAAGCTGATTTGTAACAAAAATTAGATTAAAAATAAAATGTTTAAAGGTTACAATGAATAAAGTCATATATTTTAAATGTTATTTAGCTTTAAAGCTATAAATTATAAACTTTCTAATGTCATTGAAATCGTCTAAATTCGTTCAAAGTCCAAGCTTGTTCGTTTTGGTTGATTTAAAGCTCCAAACTGGTTTGTTTAGTTTTTTTAGCTTCAAACTGGTTTGATTAGCTTTGTTTTTAGCTCCAAACTAGTTTGTTTAGGTTTGTTTAAACTCTAAACTGGTTTGCCCGATTCACAGCAATACCCTTTAAAACTTTGGTTGATCATCGATGACAGAGTAATCTCTGTGTTTATCTTAAAATGATGTTTAAATTACTGGAAAATTGTTCAGTGTACAGTGTGAACTCAGAACAGATAACTTTCAATAAATATTATAATGTTTTTTTTGAAAATAAAACAGCTTGCAAACAAAGTTTCAAAAGTTTCAAGATTTTCTGTAGGTAAAAATTGATAAATATTGATAAGTTTTGATAAATATTGATTAATATTGATAAATATTGATAAATATTGATAAATATTAATATGGATATGAATCGAACACGCTACTTTACATTTTGACGGTCACTTGAACTTATAGTTTGATTAAAGCTTCGAATTAGTTTATTTAGCTCCGAACTGGATTGTTAGGTTGGATTAAAGCTCCGAACTGGATTGTTTAGGTTGGATTGAAGCTCCGAACTGGATTTTTTAGGTTGGATTGAAGCTCCGACCTGGATTGTTGTATGTATAGGTTGGATTAAAGCTCCGAACTGGATTTTTTAGGTTGGATTGAAGCTCCGAACTGGATTGTTGTATGTTTAGGTTGGATAAAAGCTCCGAACTGGATTGTTAGGTTGGATTAAAGCTCCGAACTGGATTGTTTAGGTTGGATTAAAGCTCCGAACTGGATTGTTTAGGTTGGATTAAAGCTCTGAACTGGATTGTTTAGGTTGGATTAAAGCTCCGAACTAGATTGTTGTATGTATAGGTTGGATTCAAGCTCCGAACTGGATTGTTTAGGTTGGATTAAAGCTCCAAAGTGGATTGTTTAGGTTGGATTAAAGCTCCGAACTAGATTGTTGTATGTATAGGTTGGATAAAAGCTCCGAACTGGATTGTTGTATGTATAGGTTGGATTAAAGCTTCGAATTGGATTGTTTAGGTTGGATTAAAGCTCGAACTGGATTGTTTAGGTTGGATTAAAGCTCTGAACTGGATTGTTTAGGTGGGATTAAAGCTCCGAACTGGATTGTTTAGCTTGGATTAAAGCTCCGAAATGGATTGTTTAGGTTGGATTAAAGCTCCGAACTGGATTGTTTAGGTTGGATTAAAGCTCCGAACTGGATTGTTGTTTGTATCCTACAACCTAGCCTGGATAGTTCATATTTCACATTCAATAGGTAATATAAAGATAAATACCTATATTGCTGGTTCAAATTTAAATCACAGATTTAACGTAAAAAGTTTAGGAAGGATCTGAAGTGTTGCTTCAAAGAAATTGAGTCTTTGTCACAAACTCAAATTTTCTAATCCCTATATCTATGAAACTTCATGTTGTAGACTTTTGATATTTCAAACTAAGATAATTTAATTTAACAGAATTCATAGCTTGAAATATCTAAGGTCTACGACATTGGGTTGCAGAGATATAGGAATTAGAAAATCAGAGTTTGTGTCATCAAAGACTCAATTCCTTTAAGCCGACGGAAGGTAGTTCAAACTAATTACATTCAATCAAAGGTGTAATGTATAATTTTTACAATTTTGATATATGTAATTTTAATCTTCATTATTGATTTATAAAAAAAACGTGAATTTAGTCTTTTTTGAAAGAAAAAAACTACATTATACCCTATTTATTTAAACAAGGTTATCACGGTTCCTTTGGGATTTTTAAATTTTATTTTCAGAAATAAATATGTAACTTTTCTATTTGATATTTTAAAATTTTTGATTATGAATTGTTAATTGTTTCTACAACTCGAGTTGATTATATTCAAATAATATTAAAGAAAATAATAGAAAATTATTTCAGATTGGATTCTCGTATTTTTTCATCAAAAGAAGACCTTTAAACAAATCTGGCAGGTGAGTGGTCACATATTGGGATCTTTACAATCTATGGCTTTTATGTTTTTACTTTTTCTCAAATGAATCCCAAAAAAAATTTTCCACAACACTGCATACCTTACATAGACGGTCACTCCCTTTAATTGGTAAGATTTTTTTTTAAAGTCAAAGCTTTCTGGGAAAAACATTGGCGGGACAAAAGTGTGGCATAATTAGTATACATATCTACTGAGTTATAAGATAGTAAAGCCGATTTTGTACTTTTGAAGTTTTTTGTTTTAATTTTACATTTTCCAGGGTTATAGGAAGTTCTACAGATACCTGCTCGCTGATAGGTCAGATCGTAGCTGTATCAGGTATTATTATTATTATTATTATTATTATCATTATCATTGTTATTATTTTCATTTTTATTATTATTATTATTTTCATTATCATTATCATTATTAATATTATTATTATTATTATTTTCATTATTATTAATGTTATTTTCATTTTCATTTTTATTATCATTATTATCATTTTTATTATTATTATTATTATTACTATTATTTTCATTTTCATTATCATTATTTTCATTTTCATTATCATTATTAATATAATTTTATTTTCATTTTTATTATAATTAGTATTATATTCATTTTCATTATTATCATTATTATTATTTTTCATTGCTTTTATAAATTTTTTCTGACTACTTCTTGCAATGCATTAAAAATTTTTGCGGCACTTTTTGAAAAAACATATCTCGCAAATTCCAAATCTTTCCATTCATCAATAAAAAAAAGCTGATTTCCATGTTACTTGTATCATTTCATTCTGTATAATTCAGGTTTACCTGGAAAACCTTCATAGGTTGGGAGATCATGTTTATCCTGACCGCAGCTGCCCTGCTGGTCAAATCATACTCAGACAGGTAGCTGGTAGATAGACGGACAGATAGATAGATAGATAGATATATAGATATATAGATATATAGATATATAGATGTATAGATAGAAAATAGATAGAGAGATAAATAGATAGAAATACATAGCAAATATCGAGTAAACATAATATTCTGTAAACCTGCAGTAGGTTGTACATTATTAACAATTCATTTTGTAGACTTATAAATAATGACATTATTCATTAAAACTGCGTTTCAATCGAATACATTAAAATCATGTGATATACTTAAATAACGCTATAAACATGTGTGGAGATAGATTAACAACATTATAAATATAAATATGTACATTAAACTTTAACTGTGCGGTAAATACGTAATATAATTGTCTTAATAGACAACGACGTAGGAATTGTAATTGCATCAATTCACATTAACTAGTGACATTAGATATTTAAATAAAGTTAGTTGATAGAGTAACTCCGTACTGATTAATGTGAGAGAGTTATCCTAAAACCCTGTGTTGATATAAGAAGGCGGGATCATCCCCATCATTTGGGATTGATATATGTAGTTTGTTGACAGCTAGACTTGTGTGGCATTTACCACGAACTGAAACCCTGTGTTTATATAACCAGGTGAGATCGTCCCCATCATTTTGGAGCGATATATATAGCTTGTTGATAGCTAGGCTTGTGTCCTTGTATGGTATTTAACGCAGATTGAAACCTTGTGTTGATATATATAACCAGGTTGGTTTTGTTCTGGTTGATAATGGCTTGTTGAATAGTTCCGCTTGTGTCCCTGTGTGGCATTTAGAGCCAGGTGGGTTGTGTCCTGATTGACTTTAATAGCAGACGAGTTGGACCTGGATAGATACGTTTCGAGAATGTGTTATGGAGTAAGAGTTTATTACATATAAATGTTGAAAAATAGTAAATTCTTCGGTAACTTCAGCAAACAAAAATTTATCAAGTTAAAAATGTCGATCATGCTAAGCTATTCGAACTGGACATTTTGAAATAAACTAATTAAAATTTTCTTTTTTTAAGAGCTGGAAAAGTCAAAGTCAAAGGTAAAAAAAATGTACTTTATCAAACCCTTTAAAAATTAAAATCTATATCAGAGGCACTTTTTGAGTCTTCAAGAGAGATTGTAAAAAATTATCTTTTTTTGCATGACCCTATGTAGATAGATATTTAGAAAAAGATGGATCGGAGGATTGCATAGATTTCACTAGAAGGGGATCATTCATTTGGCATACAGTCCCGTTTGCCTCATATAGTCGTTATTTGTACTGTACTGCTTGCCAAGGCTATATTGAAATTTTACCCGGTACAAGAAATGAACTGAAATGTACCGTAAGATATTTCTTTTAAATGTATATTTACAGTTAATGTTTGCAAAACTATATAAGCTGATCAATTTATCAATTTGTGCAATACATCAACAATTTTATAACAGTAGTTTATTATACCAATTTTTTCTTCCGGCTTTTTACTTGTAATTGTACAGAAGTGTACAAGGATTTTTACTTGTAATTGTACAGAAGTGTACAATGTTTTTTATTTGTATTTGTACAGAAGTGTACAAGGATTCTTACTTGTAACTGTTCAGAAGTGTAAGATGTTTTTTATTTGTAATTGTACAGAAGTGTACAATGTTTTTAACTTGTAATTGTAAAGAAGTTTACAATGTTTTTTACTTGTAATTGTACAGAAGTGTACAATGGATTCTTACTTGTAACTGTTCAGAAAAGTGTAAGATGTTTTTTACTTGTAGTTGTACAGAAGTGTACAATGTTTTTTACTTATAATTGTACAGAAGTGTACAATGTTTTTTACTTGTAATTGTACAGAAGTGTACAATGTTTTTTACTTGTAATTGTACAGAAGTGTACAATGATTTTTACTTGTAATTGTACAGAAGTGTACAATGTTTTTTACCTGTGATTATACAGAAGTGTACAATGTTTTTTACTTGTAATTGTACAGAAGTGTACAATCCTTTTTATTTGTAACTGTACAGCAGTGTACAATCCTTTTTATTTGTAACTGTACAGCAGTTTACAATGTTTTTTACTTGTAATTGTACAGAAGTGTACAATCCTTTTTACTTGTAATTGTACAGCAGTGAACATTGTTTTTTACTTGTAATTGTACAGAAGTGTACAAAGTTTTTTAACTTGTTATTGTACAAAAGTGTACAATGTTTTTTACTTGTAATTGTAAAGAAGTTTACAATGTTTTTTACTTGTAATTGTACAGAAGTGTACAATGATTTTTATTTGTAATTGTACAGAAGTGTACAATTTTTTAACTTGTAATTGTAAAGAAGTTTACAATGTTTTTTACTTGTAATTGTACAGAAGTGTGCAATGTTTTTTACTTGTAATTGTAAAGAAGTTTACAATGTTTTTTTCTTGTAATTGTACAAAAGTGTACAAGGATTCTTACTTGTAACTGTTCAGAAAAGTGTAAGATGTTTTTTACTTGTAGTTGTACAGAAGTGTACAATGTTTTTTACTTATAATTGTACAGAAGTGTACAATGTTTTTTACTTGTAATTGTACAGAAGTGTACAATGTTTTTTACTTTTTTACTTGTAATTGTACAGAAGTGTACAATGATTTTTACTTGTAATTGTACAGAAGTGTACAATAATTTTTATTTGTAATTGTTCAGAAGTGTACAATGTTTTTTACTTGTAATTGTACAGCTTAATTTGATCAATAAAGTGGTAGATACCGTCGTTTTCTGGATTGAAAAGTGTTCAAATCCCGTAATAAAAAATGCGTGAGCCACTTTAAGTAGAGAGTAATCAGTTTTCCAAATTAAAAACATTGATATCTAATTCATACTTGATCAGACAAAACTTGAAATTACGCTTACAGTCCCTTTAAAAAATGACAGAAATCAGAATCTTTACAAATATAAATATGATAATGTTGAATTATAACTTTATAAACACGATATGTATTGCGTGCCATGGATCCATTCTTTCCATTTATGATTTTAATAAATTGGCCAATTTAATTAAAATTAGGAAATATAAAACAGTTCTACACATTTGGAAAAAAGTCCAATAATATTTAAGAATTTTTTTGCTTAGTAGACTTTAGAAATGGGGTTATGGATCGAGGACTAAAAACGCCATGCAAGTAGTCAGAAAAAAAAAGTTTTTCAAACTAAAACCTAGGACTGACTTTTAAAACAAGTTTATTTCAAGTTTCTTACATAGATTATTATTGATGGGGATAATTTTTAAGTCTGTAATGAATCATTGAAGGGTTTTTTAGTTTAAAGGTTCTCTAGAAGAAACTAAGATTTTTAACCCATTTCATAACTTGATTTTATAGAATATTTATCAAAACGATTTTTCCAATAGTTTTAAAATCGTTTAGGTTAAAGCCTTTTGTAGATGCAGTTTTTTTTTGGGGGGGGGGAACTTGGGCGCAAAAAGAGAGAGAAGGCATCTATCTAGTCCTTTTATCAGAGTACACATTTAGCATAATGTAATAAACGCTAACTTAACAAGCATACAATTTTGAAATGAGATAAACATATCAGATATATTGTTGAGCCTCTTAAAATACAATTTTGAAATGAGATAAACATATCATACTGTTGAGCCCCTTAAAATACAGTTTTGAAATGAGATAAACATATATTGTTGAGTCTTTTAAAATACAATTTTGAAATAAGATAAACATATCAGATATATTGTTGAGCCTCTTAAAATTGGAAACAACCTTAAATGTTTAAAAAAGGACCTCTATAAATTTGTATCAAGGAAGAAAACAAGGGAGAAAAAACGTTGGGAAGAATTTTAAAATATTTTTATTTTAAATGTTCCATTTTCATTCTTATATATTGTAGGTTCTTTTGCGTGGAGGAGAATTCTCATAATACAACAACAACAACAATACCATTTACAGGTCAACATTTACAACCCAAGATTTGTTTACAAAATATACTGGTTTCTAAAAAGTCGTAACTACATCTTAAAGGGACTTTACGTGATTTCAACAAAGCCTCCATAATGAACAATTAATATACACTGAAACTATTTTTTAGCTTGAAAAGTGATTAATTCTTAGTTTTTAATCTGTAAATCCCTGTTATTGATAAACCACAATTTATAATAAAAAACATTAATAAATTATGCATCAATAATCAATGATCATACAAAGGTACCATTGGTAATCAGACTTCCCACTTAAAAAGGAGGGTCATTTGAAATTACGTCCTTTTAATAACCCGTAAAAAAATTTACTGGGAAAAAACCATATTGTTGTAGAAAAGTTGTTCAGTCCATTTCCCCCCCCCCCCCACTAACTCCTGAACTTTGACCATGAATAATTTATGACCTTTGTGCTGTTGTCATGAGGTCAAACTAATTACAAAACATGAAGACTACCGAACACTGTACAAACCTCTGATTTGTATTGATTAAACGTTTCCTACAACGTGGTGTCAACATTTTAAAATAAGTAATTCGGGCTTTGCCATCAAACTCCATTTTGTTTTGGTTTTTATATTTCAGCAACCCAATGTCATAGACCTTATGATATTTCAAACTAAGAATTCTGTTTGAAATACACGACTGTATTCAAAATCAAAAAAGGTGTTGTTAAACCCCATACCTCCAGACTGGCATGGTACCCTGACATGTACCAGTACGTCGTGGGCCCCCTGTCCTTATGTACGTCTAAACACTCAATTCCTTCTATCTTTACAAGGTTACCAACAAGGGTTTTAAATGTTTTAAAAGATTGCGTCATCACAGAAATTTTATTTATATAAACCAAAATTCAAATGTAACCAAATCATAACTTTTAAATTTTGGTTTAAAAAAGAAATGAAAAGTCGTCAAAAATGGCCTTTTGATTGATAGAAATTATTTCAGGATCTAACATAAAGTTTCGCCAAACCATCCTAGCTACAGTGGATCAACTTGATATAGGAAATTTTTATCGATAAGTCCCGTTAATTATTTTTAATAAATCTGATAAAAGATTCAGTTTAGATATATATATAGTATATTATCGCTCATTTTTATAAACAAAATGTCAACATATTTTTTCCAGTTGAAATTTTCAATTTCGAAAACCTTCCTTGGAGTTGTGGAAGGTGCCACAAAAAATTGGGCTAGATCGGTTGAGCCGTTTTAACGTTTATATGGACACAACCTAACAGCAAACAGACAGACAAGCAAAGTAATAGAAAACAAGTTTCTTAACAATCATTATAATGCTTAATTTAGGTTACCCACTATTAATTTGTTAACGAGAAAATAAAATTAATTAAACATGGCGACTGATACAAAATATTGAAATAGTGAGGAACAATTCTACCGTCATTATTCAAGATGTACTGTTCTGGATCCATCTGGCCTGCAACCTGCTATGTCTAAATGTCGTCTTTCTCAGGAACAAAATGGAATCAAAATTCAAAAAGTTGAAATGTGTAACCGGAAAATAACAAGTAACGAACTCGCCTCAAACTTGAAATGTCTTGTTACTAAATCTTTGCAAATGATAGTATAAGCAAATGATAAAACTTAGGCAATTTAATCCTGCAGAAATCACTGCAGAAATTTACTAACCTATCAAAATTGTCTCCAAAATCAGACTCCAGAGAAATAATTATAGAAAAATTAAAGTACAGTGAATACCAAAAAAAGTTAAATTCTAATCCCCTTTTTCTTGGTAAGGAATGTGTCTGACAATTTTGTAGTTTGTAGCTGAACTACGTTTTAAAAATTTCGTAAATAAATTACAATATCATTACAATATCATTATCGATAGTTGTTAAGTAAAAAAGAACAAAAGCGACGTTCATTGCACACAGGCCCGTAGCCAGGGGGGGTGCAAGGGTGCAGGTGCACCCCCCTTTCTTCTGAAAGAGGGGTGCAATGACGAATTTGCACCCCCCCCCCCCTAGTCCCATATAAAAGAAATTGTTTTCATAAGTTTCTAAAATCTAGTTATAAATTATATAGCCCGAGTAAGAATTGATTTACAAACCAAATTATAATCTATTTGTGCGTTACTCATTAAAAGCGTGACGGCGTTTTTGTGTACTCTCTCAACTCATCCCCTAAGTCATGTCTAATTAAAACAGTATGATTTATTAATTATATGCATGAGAGTCCCATGGAAATGAAATGGTAATCTCCTGTACACTTTCAGACTTTTAGCCCTTGACCGGTGTGCTATATGTTTTATGAGTCTGTTTTTTTTGAGGCATTTCCGTGGTGAGGCGTTTCCATAGCACCCCTTGACCCTTGAAAGGCTTTTTTTAAAATGAATAAGAAATGAGATCATATCATTTTCATATTGTAAAGTCAAAGTAATAAATGATTACTTGCCTCTTTTAGTTAAGCAGTACTCCCTTAAAAGCTCAAATACACTTGTTAAAAAGGTTAGCCTTTATAGTGTGCATTTACAATGTCATAAAAACAACCATATACCACTGTAAAACCAAACAAACAAAGAACCCCTCAAAAAAATTTTTCGCCTCCGGCGCGTCATATTGCACCCCCCCTGGACAAATCCTGGCTACGGGCCTGATTGCACATCATTCTTTTCAGTACTACTTTCATAAGCCTTAAACAAATATTGATCATTTTTTATTTTACAATTTTGTGGTTAGTGAGGTGTTTTTTATGATGTTGATTTCTGTGATATTTCATGCTTTCTCCTTCCTACACAAGCAAATAAACGAACTTCTTGGCAAACCAGACAGTGTATTTCATCTGCAAGGTAAACGTTAAAAAATGGGTTCAATTGTTACAAAGTGATCTCCAAAATGATTGGAAAACTCCGTCATTTTGATCTTTTATAAAATTGTTCAAAAATACCCATTATACATGCTCCCAAATATTATTCTTGATAATTTTGTTACAAACATTTTGAAATATTTGGAAATAATGATTTTAAAGGTTTTTCTATTTTTGGGGGATTTTAAAATTGGAAATTTTTACTCCGATCGCTTATAAACAATTTACACTGGATCAGTTCAATGGTTTTTGCATTTATTTTGTGCGATAAGACACAAAACTGACAAGCCTGCAATGAGGGGGGAAGGCTAGGCGCACCCTTATATCCTCCGGCAAAATAACACCGTTTTGCGTGAAATTCAATTTAATATGATTAAAATCTATAGTAAAAATCGTAGTAAATCACGTTTTTAACAAAAATTTAACAACTGTTGCCCCAGTGAGCAAGAATGATAGCTAAAAAAATATGATTAATATGTTTACTGTTCAGGTTATAATAGAATGTTATGAGGTCTATAAAATCTAAAATCAACGATGCATTTCTCTAAAATAAGCATCTTAAAGTTAAGACATGTTGCCGGAGGATATATGGGTGCGGCTGGGAAGTGCTTCCAGTGAGCGCGTTTGCCGCAACTCTATGTTTGTGAGTAAATTACGGGATGGAGGCTGAACGAGTGCGGCTTGCCTCCCCCCCCTCTTTGTAATTAAAAAAAAAAATATTTGTATTTAAAACTGTGTTAATTTTATCTTTTAAATGTCAGCAATTCATGATCCACTGGATGATATGGAGAGTATAAATATGGAGAATGTGCTGAGATCTGATCTTAAATCTGCAAAAACAAGATCTAGGTAAATCTAGGTTTATATATTGCACAATTAGAAATCTATTAATGCATTGTCTTAAATGGACGTGATCATAATTTTAGTTGACTCTCCATTTATAGATTTTCAACAACTTTGAGACTAAAAAAGTTTTCTGTAAAATCATTTTAAGTAGACGAATTTGACTTTTTTAAAAAACTTGTATGAAAAAACCATTAGTAAAAAACAATATTCAGAACATGCTTACATGGGTATCTAAAGATTTGCCTGCTGATTACGGAACATTTGTTAGTTGTTCAATATTTAAAGCTTGGTCAATTGAGTTAAGGCCCAAAACGGACTATTTTTGAACTCTAACGAAATTTCCCTGAAAAATTTAGTTTACAGTGATTGCTGGAATTTGATCTCATGGCTCTCTCATTAAATATATTTAACACATTTAAAATCAGCTGTTTCCAGGCCGGGCCTACATGCAGAATAAAATACTATTAAAAGTGTTGCAAACAAATGAATAGCAGTATTTGCGATGCATGTATCCCTTATTATAGGAAGTACATAGAACTAAAAGCTTACAAAAGTTGTTAAAAGGTTCAATAATTTATAAACTTTAAATTAATGTTGAAAATTAAAGAACAAATCTGCAATTGTGTTAAATATTTTGAAACTAAATAACGTTTACATTTTTTTAGATTTAATGAATTACTTGGAGTTAAAAACTAATAATAAGTCACAATCTAAACTACATTTTAAGTTTCAATGTAACCTTCCCAGCACACTGACATCAAATTAAATTCATAATGTGGACAATAGTTTCATTTTTTATTTGAAGAGTAACATGAGATTAAGTCAAAATTAGATGGTTTTTGTTTGTTTAGAAGAAGTTCGAGATTTGGAGGTCCAGGAAGAGAAGGAGGAGGAGGAGGTGAAGAGGGAGGAGAAGGTACTCGTCCTAATGTTGGTATCAGTATCCGAGCACTTTGGGAGCAAATGGAGGAGTTGATCGATCTGTTAGATCAGGTAATAGAGGTTGCCATGAGCGGGGGAAGGCAGGCGGCCATAAGCCACTACATTTTTCCCTTCCATTCCACATATTAACTTTTTTGTCTTCCCGGCAACCATAAGCCACAACCGTTTGGTCTTCCATGCCACAACATTTGAGTCTACCAGCAATTATTATGTTTTCAAATTGTAAATGTAGTGCACCCGTTTAGGCAAAAAAAAACCCTGAAAACCATTGATTTTGTATCTATAGATTTTCTAACTCAGGTTGTATAAGTTATACTTTAATATAAAGGGTGAACCTAAAAAAACCACACAAAACAGATTTTTTGGATTATTACTAAGAAAATCCATATAATAATGGATGAAAATCCGCAAAACTATTATTTTGGGACCAGTTGATAGTGGATCTACCAAGAAAAAATGGATAAAAAGCTTAAATCCATCTTGAAATCACAGATAGAGACCTATCTCCAGAAAAAGCCACATGCCAGTGATGGTAAAATAATAAAGTGGCTGTATATTGGTGCAGTCCCCGGTCCTGACACTCTCAATGCAATCAAAAAAGAAAGCCTGAGAAGCTTTGTTGTCTACCAGAAGAAGAAGTTTGCAATGCATGGGTTCTGTGCTGATCACCTAAAGGGGAACGGACGACCCTCTGTTCCAGGAAGAAAGATTGCCCAGGTGAAGAGACTGATGAACAATAAGGAACGCAGGAGCACCCGGTCTGTTTCTAACAGAGTTGGAGTCTCTCAAACATCAGTTGTAAGAATCATGAAAAAATATGGATATAAAGCATACCACAAGTATAAGGTACAGAAAATGTCAGATGAGCATAAGGAGAGGCGTGTGGAGTGTGCAAGGATGTTCCTTAGTGTTTATGGGAGAAGAGTGAGGAATGACAGAAAGTGGGGAAAGATCATCAATACTGATTTCAGTGCCAAAATCACTACTTTTGCTACCCGAAACTCAAAGAATGATGTTATTTGGAGCCTCTCAAGAGAATCTGCTGGTGACATGTTGGATGCACCAGAGGAGAAGTTTACCAAAGGGCACATGATCTGGGGTGGAGTGTCCTACCGTGGTCTGGTTCCAAGGACTGCTCCAATCTTTGCTGGTGATCTCTACAATGAGTATGAACCCAAGCCAAAAACCATCAACAGTATAATGTATGCTGATATGATAAAGGAGAAAGCTGGACCTGCAGTTCTTGAGGTATATCCCGATGGATCAGGAGTGTTCCAAGATGATGGAGCAACAATCCACAGGGCAGAAGTTTCCCTTAGGGCAGTTGAAGAAACCTTCACCTCTAGAGTAGACCACACAACCAAAGCACCAAAAATGGCTGATGTATTGCCAATAGAAAATGTTTGGAGTATTCTTAAGGGAAAGGTTGCTGAAAAAGAATGCTCTAACGACCAACAGCTGAAGAAAGCCATCATTGCAGCATGGAGAGAGATTGACGATGATAAGGCTCTATGTAGACATTTGATGGCATCTCTGCCCCACCGACTACAAGCTGTTATAGACAAAGAAGGCCGTCAAATCCAGAAGGAAGACTACTAAAAGTTTCAAAATACTCAAATATATATGTAACCACTAAAATATATCTAATAAAACTGTTTGAATCATAATGCATTAAACAATTAGAGAAGAATTTGTATTATGTGTGGTTTTTTAGGTTCACCCTTTACATTCAGTTCGTTTATTTGGTCCTTTATTCGTTGCTACATGTCTATCATTCAGGTCAACTCTGTGTTTGGTATGACCTTGCAGTTCCTCGCTCTGGAGTACCTCATCTTCTTCCCTGCCCTTTTGTACTTCGTTATAGGTAAGTCACAGACTACACAGACTGCTTATATACTCTACCTGGATAGGCTAAGTGTCCCGGCACGCCATGCCACGGTTCCATGTAATGTTTTTTGACTGATATCTGACGGCCACTTGTTGCATTCAGGGGTAAATTTTTACAACTTTTAAAGAAATACTCAAATTTTAAACATAAAACATAACATTTATGAATATTGTCTATTTTTAAAGATTTTGCATTTCTTATTATTAAATGAATTCTCTGTATCTAAAACTGTACCCTGAGCTATATATATATATTCTCATCTAGAACTGTACCCTGAGCTATATATATATATATATATTCTCATCTAGAACAGTACCCTGAGCTATATATATATTCTCATCTAGAACTGTACCCTGAGCTATTTATATTCTCTGTATCTAAAACTGTACCCTGAGCTATATTTATATATATATTCTCATCTAGAACTGTACTCTGAGCTATATATATATATTCTCTGTATCTAGAACTGTACCCTGAGCTATATATATTCTCTGTATCCAGAATTGTACCCTGAGCTGAGTTACCTGAGTTTGGCTGGGTTCCTAGTCACCTGTATCATTCTGGGAATTAGGAAAACTATTCAAATTTTCATTTTTTGTAATATTTCATTTCCTATTGACATTTCATCGTTTTTTGGATTAAAATTATGAAAAAAAAATATTTAAACTTTGCTGCAATTTTTTGATAAAGTTTTGTAGAATCTTAAATTTTTATTTTTTCTCTAGCTTTTGTTTGAAAAACAATTAGCATTTATTATTTGTGAATTGTAATGTTATTATACCTTAAGTATGCTCAAATCAACAGACAATTGTTACCTTTACAGTTATAACATGGTGTAGTTATAAAATGGTTTAGTTATAACATGTTTAGTTATAACATGGTTTAGTTATAAAATGGTTTAAGTTTTCCAGATTTCCGAATAAGATTAAATTGGATTTTCCCCTTTTCTGAAATCCAAGAATGAGGTAGTTGGCATGTGTAAGGCTGGTTCAACTACTTAATCATTTTTAAGCTTAAACCAGTGGTAGAACCAGCTGTACTTAGTTCAACTACCATTCTTTATTTGCAAAATTAACAGATTTTGTAAAAAAGTTAGTTTTAATTTGAGTAATAATGTTTTGTAGAAGTTTTGTATTTACTTCTGTGTGTGCTAGAGTTCATGAGGAGTCCCAGGCACCAATTAATACTTTGTACAGGTCATACAAAATATATTCATTTCCGGTTTCGGGACAAAACTCGACCCCCCCCCCTTCGTTAAAAAGGCTGGAAAACATATTTGATGTATAATCTAAGTTTTGCAATCCAATTCTTCCCCGAGAACCTTTTATAAGAGAGGACGTTCAGTACAGGCGTAATTTAAATTTAAATGAAATTTTTGACAAAGGAACTGAGTTTTTTTCCACAAACTCAAATATTCTTATCCCTATATCTTGGCAACCCAATTTCGTAGACCTTAGATATTTCAAACTATTATTTCTGTTAGATCAAATAATCTAAGTTTGAAATATCAAAGGTTTATACCCACTGGTTGCAGAGATATAGAAATTAGAAAATTTGAGGTTGTGGCAAAAACTCAATTCCTTTGACTAAGTATTGCATCTTGAAATATCACAAAAATGATTATTCAATTACTGACTCATTATACTAAATCCATCTTGAAATCGCTCATTAACCAACTTTGTGATATTTTAAGATGCAATACTTACACAAATTTGTCAAAAATTTCATTGTAAAACAGTTTAAGAATTCAGCACACAAAATGTTAATCTTAAGTAGAATTGAAAAAAGGGTTTCAGTTGTGCTTTTTTGAGCGACGCGGCTGGATTTTTTAAAATCACACTTTAAAGGCCATAAATATACAATTTAAAAAAGTAGTTTTGCCCGGAAGAGTCAAATGTGGTGGTACGGAAGGGGAAATAGTGGTGGCTCATGGCTGCCTGCCTTCCCCCGCTCTCAGTACAGGCGTAATTTCAATTCAACCCTGATTCACAACAACAACCCTTTAATCTAAAAAATTCGTTTTTCTTTCTAAATAAACGTAGAATCTGACAATTTTATTCTTTAACTCTGAAGAAAAAAATTTGCTGGTGACAAGTATAATTATATAAATTGTATTTTTGTTTTGTTCAGGGCGTATGTGAAAGGAGATGTTAGCATTCAAGATTATGATATTGTAAATATGTTTATAACAAGACTATCCACAACCACCATAGCAGTCAGGTAGATAGATAGATAGAAAGATAGATAGAAAGATAGATAGATAGATAGATAGATAGATAGGTAGATAGATAGATAGATAGATAGATATATAGATAGATATATAGATAGATAGTTAGATAGATAGATAGATATAAAAATATGCTTGAAATATTAAAATCTTTAGCATTAGTTCAAAGTAAAAAAAAAATGAAAATAAAGACAACAATCATTCTTTGTTGATTGTTTATCAATTAAACATAAACTTCAATTTTTAATAAATCTTTTTATTTTCAGAACCTGGAGCAAGTTCCCCATAACACGGCAAACATTTTCCATCATATTTATTTGTGTTTTTGGGATTCTGGCTCTTTTACTACAATCAGAGCACACTAATGTGGCCCTGAATTAGTGTATTCACATATAGAGAGTAGTATTTAGAGACAAAGGTTTAACTGTGGTTTCACTCTATTCCTACTCATGTCGTCTTCTTTTACGGGACGACCTTACCGAGGGTAGGGGTGCAGAGCCGCTATAAGCACCACAAAATTACCTCCGGATCCTACTGATATGCAGAATGACCTCCAAGTCCTGCTAATCCTCTCCTTGCCTCGCTACGTCTCCAAGCCTTTGCAATTCTGTCTCCGCGTCCCGCATTTAGATCTCCGATTGCTGTTTATACTTTTTACAGCTTAACCAACCAAAAATTTAAATAAATCTCTTCATAGTAGAATCCACAATACTTTAAACAATTACTTAATTAGCATTTCAAATATTAGTTCTTTTCTTGTGAAAAGTTTACACAAAGCATAAGATAAAAGCATGAATTCAAGAGTTTCTCAATTCTGTTATGTGAATTGGTGCTCATACAGTTCGTACATAATACACCTTTATAATAAAAAAATCAAAAAGTCTAATAATTGAGGAGTCTCGCAACAATTCTTTTTGGGTTTGGTCCAAAAAAAAGACTAAGGGTAAGAGTAGGAATAGGGCAAAATTTTTTTTAAAAAGTACCTTGTAAAAGTTTTGAAATTTTCCTTCATTTTTGACATATATATAAAATGTTACACGTGTACAATTTGCATAAAAATATCTTTAAAGAAGAGTTTGGATAATAATATATTTAAATCTTTTATAGCTATTGTCAAATTATGAAATATTTTAGATTTTACCTTTTTTATTCAATTTTTGAAATGTGATATCAATTGAATATGTACATATAGATATATAAAAACGAAAAATATAAAGTAAAGACGCCCGTTTTTTTAAATCTTTATTTGAACATTTACATTTTTTATTTTAAAAAAAATATTTTTTAAAAGGACTAAAGACATAACTTTCATAGAATAGGATGCACGATTCACCATTGGATCAAGAATGAATTAAAAACCCATCAATTTTTCTATATTATATTTAGATTAGAGAAAGGTTTACTGTAGGTATACTGTTTTGAATATGGTATACCATCGCTCAACCTGATTTCCTACGCGTATGTCTGATATGAAAGTTTTACTAATTAACTTTGCAAATATATAGGAATTCAAAAATTGATGTCCAATTCCTTTCAAGATTATAAAACAATACATTTTCAGACAAAAAATAAGTTGTAAAAATGTAATTAATATTCTTTATCATTTAAAAAACGAATAAACAAACGTTGAGCTTTAAGGAAGCTGTTAACCTCTGTGATTTTAGTATTTTTACGTTAAAATATAAAATCTTTGAATTTAGATAGATATCTTATATTTAATCGTGAGTAGTAAACCATGAAAGTATTTATTGAACAGTAGATAATTTACATATTTAAATTGCAAAACATAAGTAACAGAGGAAGCGTATTGAAAAAAAATACATAAAATAAGTATATTTAGCAGATAGAGTTGGAAATAGAGGAGTTTGGAGGGAAATAGGGTGTCCAACAAAAAGAACAGTTGAGGGCCGACTTAAAGATTTTTTTTAAAAAATGTGAACTAAAAACGGTTCCAACATTTTCAGTTTTTCAGGAGCTAAATCATGTCAAAGAAAGTTCGATTATTTCTAAACATTTAGTTTAGTGAGACACCATCACAATATATACATTATTGTGGGATAATGGTATTCCAATTAGCGACTAATATCTCATTTTAGGAATTTATGGGGGGGGGTATCAAAATAGCAAGGGGGGTCAAGGAAGAGGGGGAACGGAGGTAGGAAAGGTAGGAATATAATAGAAAATAAAAGGGATATGTAAAAATGAGGGGAGGGTAGAGTGGGATTATGGGAAATGAAATGAGGGATATGGGAAATAAAATGAGGAATTATGGGAAATCAAATGAGGAATTATGGGAAATAAAATGAGGAATTATGGGAAATCAAATGAGGAATTATGGGAAATGAAATAAGGAATTATGGGAAATATAATGAGGAATTATGGGAAATAAAAAAGGATTTATGGGAAACTAATCCGGATGTTTTCATCTCTTTCTTCTCCTTCTTCCCCCCACACAGAGTCAACATATCTCGCCACCCAACCTTTCCTAGATCTCCCACCCTACAATTTATAAAATAATATTTTAAAATTAGTTTTATCTCATAGTTAAATCATCAGAAAAGTACATGAATGAAATAAAAGAGTCTTAAAGGCAGAAAATAAAGGGCATGTCCCATATCATATTAGATCGTCAATGGGTCTAAATTACGATTTTCGGGACTTATCAGAAAATTTAAGAAGATTGAATCATTTTGTAAAATTGAATAAGACTTAAATAAAAATTTTCTTGAAGAAAAGGCTAGGGTTTTTCTAGGCTAGGGTTTTTCGAGTATTATGTGTTTATTTTGGCACTAAAGCTTGAAGATAATCTGATATGATAAGGCACTGTGTATAAAAAATCGCAATTAGAATTTGTTGATAGATCCCATTAACATATATATCACTATTATAACTATTGATTTGATTATCAAGTATGACAATCCAATGTTAAAACCTTGTAATTAAGGGGATCGACTGTCGACATTTTCAAATGGAGTTAAATTTTCGATTTACAAAGGTACCCTCTAACTCTAGCCTGTGCACAAGCATGGAGATTGGATATATAGATCGTGAATTTGCGCTTTCTCTGTAATATTGAGTATTGGATCTAAGCAGCAGGGACATGGAACGAAATTGGCGAATTTATATCTTTCTAAGATAAAAAAGACGATATCTTTCTCAATACATGTTAAAAGAGTACAGCATTATGAAATAAAACCCTATCTCGGGTTGGGTCCCTTTAAATGCTATTTACAAAACTGCAAGAACTGAATGAGTTGTGCGGTTTTTTGTGCAATCAATAAATTTCCTGCAAGTTTTCGGAATTCCAAGGTTATAAGGAAATACAGAGTAAGTTCTAGCTCCAAGATCACTTTATTACCTTCTTCTTATACAATGTATACAAACAAACCGTACGTACAAATATATTTTATATAGTATATGCAAATAATATCGAGTTGTCTGGAAACATCGATTTATTCAGATTATAAAGTTTATATACAACAAAGTCCTGAAGCATAAAATGGCGTCTGAGAATTCTATAATCCTTAATACTCTGGGAATCTTCACTGTTGAATTTATTAATCCAATTTCTATGGTTAGTGAATTTGAAATAAATTACTAAACGGTTGAACAATTTAAAAATAGTTAATTTTATCAACATGTGGAAAAAGTATTCATGGAAATTGTTTGGATTTAAGTTTTCACTTTCGATTTAAAACCAATCAACAACGATTCATAACTGCCTGGTTTATATAATGATTAAATCCAAATACCAGGAAAATAACCCAAGGTAAAATATTCTAAGCCTGTAACTTAAGATAAATTAGCGTCATGAAACCCAGGATCGGGAACCCGGTTTCACAAATTGGGTTAAGTATTTTTGTACAGTGGTAGGCGATGATTATATCAATACAATGAAGACGACTTTCAATTAAAATTTTGATTTATATCAAGCTGTTAGAGAAATGGATACAAAAAAAACATAGAAATCAGGAGAGGCTGTCAATTGAAAAGGCTTCTATTTGGTTACGTGTGAAATTGTAATAAGAACAAAGCTTGATAACAATCAAAACTTTTGTAATAAAAGTCGTCTTCATTGTTTTGATATAGATCGTCTACTACTGTAAATAGCAATATATTTTTTTTGCAAACTTTGTTTATGTTGAGATGAAGACGATTAAGGGGGGGGGGGTCGGGAAAGGAGATGAAAAGTGAGAAGTGAAGAAAAGGGAAGTGGGGGAGGGAGGGAGGGGGGTGGGGGCTCAGTTTCTATAAATACCTGATACTCGTATAGTCCTAGGGGTGGTGAGTGAACTAAAGCATTGTCAGGTTTCTGCTGAGAGATTGGAGGAGGTAGAGCAGGTACTAGGTCAGGTAGGTATACTACTCTATATATTTACAGCTCTATGGATATATATTTAGCTAGATATACTACTCTATATATTTACAGCTCTGTGAATATATTTAGCTAGATATACTATTCTACATGTTTACAGCTCTATGGATATATTAAGTTAGATATACTACTCTACATATTTACAGCTGTATGGAAATATTTAGCTAGATATACTACTCTATATATTTACAACTCTATGCAGTTATATTTAGCTTGATATACTTCTCTATATATTTACAGCTCTATGGATATATTCAGCTAGATATAGAGACTACCCTATGGATATATTTAGCAAGATATACTACTCTATATATTTACAGCTCTATGGATATATTTAGCTAGATATACTACTCTATATATTTACAGCTCTACTCTATGACCATTCTTAGCAAAAAAAAAAACAGTACTGTTATATTTTCGTTTTTGTATCAGAGCGCCTAAAGTTTTTAAAGTTCAATACTTTTTGAATTAATGTCACCAAGTAGCTTTGATTCCAAAAGGTATAAAATCTCTAGTTTACATGCATGAATATTTAAATTTCTCCATGATTTGCCTGAATGAATTCGAGAAATTGATAAGCAGTAGAAACCAGCAAATCTAAAAATAAGTTTTAAAAAGATTAACAAAATATATTATTCTTAACCTTGTAATATTGTATAACAGTAAAAAGTTTAACGATAAACAAAATCTCAGAATGTAAGTTTAAGAAATAGGAAAAAGTGCTTTCAAATTATATTACATTAAAAACCTTTAAACTTAGGCTATACTTACTGTAACTACACATGAAGTTTTCATTATGTTTTACAAAAAAATCTGAAATCAAATCAATCAAATGTGAATACAATAAAATAGCGTTCAGACAGTATGATTCAGTAGGTAGATAAATCCTATAATATCTTAACTTAATTTATCATAAACAAATTCTTAACAGAAATATTGTGTTGTCTTACTACTCTTAGATCTATTTTGTGGATAAGAGGTATTTTTTGAAGACATTAAATTTTGATTAACATATTTGTGGACAAATAGTCCACCAGGGCATTGTGAACGTTTGCAGATAAATATATATCTTAAATCCTTGATGATATATATCTTAAATCCTTGATGTCCTTTTTACATATAGATGATATATATCTTAAATCCTTGATGTCCTTTTTACATATAGATGATATATAATGTCCTTTTTACATATAGATGATATATATCTTAAATCCTTGATGTCCTTTTTACATATAGATGATATATATCTTAAATCCTTGATGTCCTTTTTTAACATTCCAGGTTATGAGGCCCCTCAAGAATCCAGAAGATGTTTAACCTATTTCAAAATTGTATGCTCGAGCTCGATAAGTTTTTAAAATGATAAGATAAATAAATCAGTTTGAAAACTGTTTTGGATAATTTCTTTGGTAAGAGAAATGTTTTCACTTAGTTTAATAATAGCAAGGTAATAAAAAGTATTTATTATTAATGTAATTCTTAATAAAAAATGGGCCATTCTAAGTTCTAAGGTAGCTTTTGATTCTGATTGAGCTACATAACCCCCCCCCCTCTCTCTTCCTACTACTTTCCCCTACCTATTGGACGAAACACCTCCAATTGTAGGATTTAAAAAAAAAGACGGCCAATGTTGCAAGCTTGGCAAATCCCGTCATAAGTGT